CTGACTCCTGTGCCATATCGCTTATGGGCCAAACTCCGATGGCCGGTCTTCAAAGCATGGCTTGATAAGTATGCCGCCACCCAAGACTGGGACCGCGCCAAGAAGGGCTTATCAAGTCTTGATGTTGCGTTGCGCCGTAAAATGTCTCATGAGATCCTGTACCGGAAAAAGAGACACGGTGTAACGGTGCTTTTGGACCTTAAAGCATTTTATGAAAATGTCTCTCACCACAGTTTTGTGGCCCAGGCCCTTGCCCTTGAGGTACCCCCGCTCATTTTAAATGCTGCAATCTCACTTTACAGTGCGCCGAGATGGATCAGTGCTGAAAAGTGTATCTCTGGGCCTATCAAGCCGACGAAGGGCTTGGTAGCTGGTTGCCCCTTTGCCCCGGGACTCAGCAAGATCCCCTTCGACAGCATCTTACGCCCGGCATGGAATACGGGGCTTGCCAAAACCATTGACCTTTGTGTCGATGACACTAGTTTTGATACTGAAGCTGCTAGCCCTGAGCTAGCTGCGCGCAGGGCAGCGCAGCTGTACAAAGCTGTGGTGGGGGGCTTAGAGCAAGCTGGACTTCCCATCAGCACTGGCAAGACGGCCTTTGTGTGTTCGTCAAAGAAGGTCGAGGCTGCCTTAAAAGGGTACCTTCCTGATTCTGAACAAATCAAGGATGCTGCCAAGGATTTGGGCATTGATTGCACTGCTGGTCGAAGGAGACGTATCCCGGTGCACCGCAAAAGGTTTGGTAAGGGGGTTAAGCGTTGCGCTAGGCTTTCGTCTCTTCGGGTTAAGTCGACACCTGTCAGGGTCCGTGCTTTAAGAGCGGGAGTGCAAACCGTGGGCATGTATGGCCATGAGTCTGTTGGACTTGCTCCCAAAAGGATGCACTGGCTGCGTGCCTCCTTCGCGCATGAATTGGGGCGCATGTCGCTGGGTTCGGTGGATCTGACGATCGACCATGCTGCACCTAAGAGACCGGACCCGGCTTACACGATTATATCCCAGCACTTCAAAGCGATCCACCGGTTGCTGTGTTTTATCCCTGACAGGCAAAAACAGCATTTTGATGACATACTGCCTGACATGTGGATGGAGTACCAGCAAACCGAATATCCCTGGAAGCGCGCTGCTGGCCCAGTAGGGGCACTGCTGTGTTACCTGGTTGACTTGGGTTGGACCCCGGTCAGTGCATCAGCATGGAAGTGCCCGGAAGACACATGCCAGATCACCACTAAGGTCGGCATGCATCATCTACTGTGCTCCCTTGCCGTGGAAACGGATAAGTGGAGGCATACTCGCATTGCCCAGCAGGATTCCCTCTCGCCCCTCTTGACTGGAATTGATTGGCACCCGCTCAAAAAGCTTAGATGTAGGCTGCCGCCGCAGCACAAAACATCGCTTATGGCGGTGTGGCAGGGTGCAATCCGGGCAGACCCATGTGCGACCTGCCTCACATGCGGACGCGCTGCAACTTTGAATCATGTGCTATGGGAGTGTTCCTGGTGGCTAACCAACCTCCCAGAGCCTCCTGCTTTTGAAAGATTCAGAAAAGAGTGGCCGATTTCCTCCTTGTGGTCTAGGGGGATGACCCCGGCTACTTCCTACCCTGACGATGGCCAATGGGTGCGCACAACGGGAGCGTGGAATGATTCTCAGCTCATCAGTGGAGAAGGGGTTTATTTCGCCACCGACGGCTCCCCAGGCCGATCCAAAGATGTCCGTTTTCATCGCTATACGTGGGCTGCAATTGCCTTTAGACTGGATGATGCTGAACCCGCTGTTATTGCAACGGCGGTTGGTACCTTGCAAACCCCGCTTTCGGTGTTCCGGGCGGAGGCGGCTGCTGTTAAATTTGTTGCCGAGCACACTCAAGGGGATGTTGACCTCACTATGGATTGTAAAGGGATTATCCCTAGGATCCAGGGGAAACCCTCCATCCAGTCGGCTGACCTTTTTGAGCCAATCAGGGAGCATTCCCACAGAATCCGCCCCACTTGGATTGCGTCGCACCTTTCGGTTCCCAAGTTCATTGAGCGGTTTGGTGCCAACCAACTCTGGCGTAGGCGGGCCAATGAGCTGGTCGACCGCCTGGTGGGTGAAGCGGCTGAACAAAGACGAGACCCACTCTATGAGTCCAGCATCAAGAAGCTGGATGCCGTGATCACTCAGGTCAACACCTTGTTGGCCAAGCGCTCTGCAGCCCTTCTCTCTTATGACAAGGACCAGGGCCCTCAGGTGCAGTGGCCGGATAAGGACCAGCGGAAAGCTCGGGCGAAGCCTCGTGTTCGTGATTCTGCTGTCATCAAAACGAAAAAGTTTTCAAAGGAGAAGGGACCTAATAAGAGGCTGCAACTTGAAAACTTGATTGCGGGTAAACAACAGCTTGGGCATGCCTGGGTTGAAGGGAGTCGGAAGCCGTCTAACCTGACCGCTAAATGTTCGAAGTGTGGACTGTATATCCAGCAGACCGACCCCATCCATGCCTTCTCCCTTAAGTCCTCGCACCCGTGCCTTGGAGTCCCAGCTGACCCCCCCCCATGGGGCCCTCACCCTGACCACGTGTGGGTTAATTTGGGGGTGTCGTGGGTTTGTTCCAAGTGTGACAGGATGGTCAAGGTAGGAGTCCGCAAAATTCCCTCTTGGATCGGCCAACCCTGTAAGCCTAAGGTGAGTAAAGTTGCAACGGCTAGTTCCAAAAAGGCGAAGGAGGTGACTGACACTGGTGTTAGGAGTGTGAAGTCTTTCTTCCAGCCTACGGCCAGTCAGGAACCACATGCCCGGAACGTGCTCCCGAAACCTAAACCCAAATCAAACTCGAAGCAGTCTGGGCTCAAGCAAGCTAAGATTGCCTTCTAAGTATGCCGCCGAAGCATAAGTCCCCTGCCTCTAAGGCGTACTCAAAAGCCCGGCCGGGCAAGCGTGAGAGAGCTCGGCTTAGAGGTGCAGCTCCTAAGATGCGAGCGCCGCCTGCTGGTGTGAACCCCCCGCCCCCTAGGCGGAGAAGGGTGGAACCACAGGACGAGCAAGCTCCTGAGCCCGGGCCACAACACGTGCAACCCCCTGAGCCCTTGGTGGATAACCAGGCTCAGGGGATGAGGAATCCTGGAGTTGTGCTTCGGGAAAATCCTCAGGTTGAGCAGCACAATCCTGTGCACCGCCCCCCAGCCGTGGTGGCAAACCAGGCTGAGAGGGATGAAGCCCCTAGAATTGTCCTTCGGGAGAATCCCCATGCACCTGGGGCTGGTCCGGTTTTGGGTGTCCCAGACCAGGACAGCTGCTCTGAAGAAAGCGAGGAGGAGCCAATGGTGCCTGATCCCATTGTGCATCCGGACCCTCCCCCAGCACCGCCTGCTGCGCCTATGCTGCCCGCCCCGTTGAACTTTGATGGTATGGATCAGGAAGCGGGCGCAGCCTTTGCTATTGCTGAGAGGGCTCGCAATACCAAGCCAGGATTGGTGGCTTTCAAATCCGATCTGGGCTATGCTGGTGTCTTCCAGGCCCTCCCCAAGGACCTGATCCACGTGTGGTTCAATGACACGGGGGACAGCACTGCGGCGTATATCCACAATGGAAGAACCAGGTATGGATATGATGTTGGCGGTGGCTACGTCTTGAAGGTTGGGACGAAGCAGGCGTTTGGGGATGAGGTGGCGATTTCGGCCTTGCTTCCTAAGGTGGCAGCCACCATCATTGGGGCTGGATCTACGACACTGCAGGTGCTGCTCTCTGGGCGACCATGGGAGTTCAGGTCCCATTTGGTGGCGTGGTCGATGGTGGAAAAAGTCGAGCTCCTCACGGATTTTGGTTCTAGGAACCAGATCCACCCTCAGTGGTCCTTGTATGCCTTCGCCCTCCTTTTGCAATTGAGCCGTCATTTTGCTCTTCGTGATGTGTCAAAAACCAACCTGGGCATTAAACCAGGACTCAGTGCTGCGACGCCCATGTGTGCTTTTTCGATCTCGCGGATTGGCACTTCGAAGGGCTCAATGCTGGAGGTTGGTTTCCCAAGTATAGCTTGCGCAGTTTCATCGAGACCCTTCGATGTGTCTGTGACGTCACGCCGTTGGAGCCGTATCTCCGCAGGCAGGCGGTGGTCCCTTGCCTCAACGATATCATTGCGGTTCTCCCTGCTGCGCTCAAGGCAAACTTGGAAATCCAAATGGTCCTCATGAATGGCCGACTTTCGGATTGGGCTCACCTTGCTGCATTGGCTAACCAATAGGCTTGGGCCCAAGCTTGTTGTGTCAGTCAGGTCTTGGGTTCTCCAGACCACTCCCCCTGGGGCCAGCCTGGGTTGACGTGTGGAACTGCATACGCGCCTCTATGCTGAGCCACTGGCATGTGTTACCCGGCCTAAGCTTGGACCAGGCTGGCAGGGGTGTCGTGAGGGCCAGTGGTGTTACCAGGCCTAAAGGCGTGGTGAGCCAGCCTTGCTGATGAGCCGGCAGTAGTTTGCTCTGTGTACCATAGGGTAGGTGTCCCCCCGACTGTTTCACCTGAGCCAATGTTACCAGGGTAGGTGTCCCCCCGACTGTTTCACCTGAGCCAAAGTGACTCCCAAGGCCTACGGCCGCCTCGTGCGCGTGGTGGGCGTGTGGGCGTGTGGGCGTGTGGGCGTGTGGGCGTGTGTGTGTGTGTGTGTGTGGGTGGGTGTGCGCGTGTGTGCGTGCGTGCGTGCGTGCGTGCGTGGGTGTGTGTGTGTGTGTGTGTGTGTGTGTGGGTGGGTGGGGTGGGTGGGGGTGGGTGTGCGCGTGTGTGCGTGTGTGTGTGTGGGTGCGCGCGCTCGCGCGGCGCGCGCGCGCGCTGCGCGCGTGTGTGTGTGTGTGTGTGTGTGTGTGTGTGTGTGTGTGTGTGTGTGTGTGTGTGTGGGCTTAGCAGGGCTTGGAGTGCTTTGGGGATTAATTGCTCACTGGGAGGGTTCGGGTTTACAAGACTCAGGGTTTCGGAGGAGGTTTGGCCAGTGCCCTGAACCCTGCACCGAAAGCACCTGAGACCCGGACTCCTCGGCCAGAAGCAGCGACACCACGTCCGACGTCAAGGCGGCCGTCTGGTCCGAGTCGCTGATTTAGGGCTTATAGGGTTTAGGGGGGTTAGGGTTAGGGAGGGGTTTTCAGGGTTGAAAGGAGAAGGGTTCTACGCGTTCTGTGACGATTTACGGCTTAGTTTCCTCTGAAAGATGCGGCTAGATTCTAGATACGGTCCTCCTAAGTCAACAAGGTCAATTCTGGCAAATCGTAAGGGCCTGCCATGGCCTGTGGGTAGGGCTCAGGGTGCAAGTTTACATGTCTGGGGTTGCTCTCTGGTCCTGTAGGACAGGCCTACCTGGTCGAGTCAGCGACGTACCGACCCTCAAAACAACCCCGATCTAGCGCCAAAGGAGCCACCTTAGACCAAGAGGAAGCTCACCAGGATGGGGCAATTACATGCCCTATAACCCCGTAAAAAGGCCCTTCACAGGGTTGATTATGGGGATTCTAAGGCCGAATAGCCCATCCTGGCAAGCTTAAACCCTAAACCAAGAAATTCCAAGCTGGACGGACAGTACCCCGGAGTGGGTTGGGCCCAGAAGCTCGGAGTCTTGAAGCCTCAACCCCCAACATTCAAACTCTCATCCCGACAAACCTGAACCCCCAAAGCCCTACTCTCTTCAAACAATCTAAGCCGTCCATCAGCTTGTACTAGTATTCGGGAATAGTTCGGCAAGAGGGGGAACATTTCAACATGTTCCCTTCCAGTAGCCTTGTCTTCCGTGAGGACCTCCAGGGCAAAAGGCCACCTCAAGAGGTGTAAGGTTAGTTGAAGGGTGTAGGGTTTTCAGGGTTTCGGGCTGTGTTGTTCCTGGGCCTTATAGGGCTTCTTTTGGGCTAGGCACCCTCCGAAACCCCATAAACCCTTAAACTTTGCACCCTTCGAAACCTGTCCGAGGGCCCGCACGGTGGCCCCTGTCTCATGAGAATGCTGTAGGCCTTGCAGGTTAGCAGCTGCGAGGCCACGGGGCCACCACTCACAGGGCTGGATCCAGAAAAGTGACCAGGGAGCTATGTTTGGGCTTAAATGACAAGGGAGCCTAGCCCCGGATCGTAGGGTTTAGGTTACCTGGTCTTCATTACAACAGAAGCGCTGCCTGTGACTCACAGAAGTTTGGGATACACACACACACACACACCCTGACTGCAAGAGCCACGCGTTCACCCAAATGCCACATCGCACTTGAACCCAACTCTTCAAACAGCACTAAACCCTAAAGCCTAAAGCCTAAAGCCTAAAGCCTAAAGCCTAAACCCTAAACCCTAAACCCTAAACCCCACACCGAAAACCCTAAACCCTAAACCCTAAACCCTAAACCCTAAACCCTAAACCCTAAACCCTAAACCCTAAACCCTAAACCCTAAACCCTAAACCCTAAACCCTAAACCCTAACCCTAAACCCTAAACCCTAAACCCTAAACCCTAAACCCTAAACTTCCTACAGCCCCAAACTGGGCCTGGCCTTGCCACCCTGGGGCTGCGTTGCTGCAAGGATCGCCAAGGAGAGAGCCCAGCCGTCCTGCCGTGTCCGCACGCATGGTCAGAAGCCCTTCATCCCCTGCTGTCCTATGAGCGAAGCCTTCACGTGCCTGTCCTATGCCCAAAAAAAAAGGTTTAGGGTTTAGGGTTTAGGGTTTAGGGTTTATAGGTTTAGGGTTTATAGGTTTAGAAACTCGGCAAACACTATTAAAGTCGAAACCCGACTCCCCAAAGCCAGTGAACCGGCAGAAAGGCCTTGCACGCCGCCAGGAGCTCCTCCAGCTCCCGGGCCGTGGGCCCAAGGCCCCGCGCCCGCAAACTGCGCGGAAGAGGGTCCTAATTACCTTGAGAGCCTTACACCGTCTGCTAAACCCCTATCGACCTCGAACCCTAAAGCCCCCTATAGGGCCTGAAGCTGTAGGCTTGAGAATTCAGGTGTCTGTGGGACTTTCTTGTCGTGGTCGAAACCTCAGTAACCCCAAACCCTCAACCCTAAACCTCAAACACATCGACCCCCGAAACCTTAAGCTTTCGCTGCCATGAACACTTATAGGGGCCTGCGTAGAAGCGCCCACATCGCCTCATATTGCCGCGCCCGCGCGCAGCAAAGGAGGACTGCCTTGGGAACAGGCAGCCCCCTTTTGGCGGGGGTGGGGGGGGGGTTGAGGTTGAGGCTTGAGGGCAGGTGGCTTCGGGCCGGAAGGCTTCGACTTTAGGGCTTACAGGGCTTCAACTCGCTGACCCCTGAACTCGATAAACCCCCTGGCATGTCGAGGCTGAACTCAGCACCCCACGCAAAGATTCAAAGGCAGGGCTTTCGGGTCTGGGAGATTTTGTGTGGGCTAGGCACAGGGAGCCTTTTGCAAGGAATACTACGAGAGGAAAACCACGATTCAGACTTCAAGATGCACTCTTGGGGATCATAGACGGAGCTCGAATCAACAAGGCCCCGACGATCCAGGATAAGCGATCCTCTTTGAGGCACGGTGCCTCTGTAACCAAGGCCTTGGACGAGAGACTACTTAGTAAGGTCCACATGCAGAGGTTGTATGGTCTCTCCACGGAAATGAAGTAGGGTTTCTGTTGCTCGTATCCTCAGAAGAATACCCCCCACCCCCCCCACCCCCCCCACCCCCCCCCCCCCCCCCCCCACATATGATCCAGGACTAGTACGTACCCCGCCCCACCCCACCCCACCCATGGCATTCATGGTGTTAAAATAATCAACTGGCTGGATTAAGGGTTTAGGTCTCCCCACTCCCCCTCTCCCCCCCCCCCACCCTTGTGTGGTTCATGGGTGGTGCCTGTAGAGTAGGGATATGGTTGCCCTCTCCCCTCTTGTGGTGCGTGTCCGTGTCGGGGCTGTAGGGTTCAGGGCAGCGTGAGAGGGGGTTCACCAATAACAGTAATATTAACGCTGTTTCATTTCTGTTGCACTTCGTGGTGTCAATCGTTGGAAGACAATGGCTCGTCATTGCCAGAGGCAAAACTCCACCCATCCCTTGAATGTCACACCTCATCTGACTGGCTTGGCCTTAAACCCTCTGAACAAATGTTCATATTAAGGGTCCCTTTTTAACCCAAATCAGGAAAATAACAAATGTCCCAAAAACCAACCTAGCTGAGTTCCGAGCCAAGGCCAAGACCCATTGCCCAGCGCCAGTCAGGGCGGTGAGGACGGCAGTCCACGTGACCGGGTCGGGGCTGGCGGGCGGGTCGCGATTGATTCGGCGCCCTCAACCCAACCCTGAACCCAAAAAACCGATAAACCCGAAGCCCTTATAACTCTAAACCCCTCCCGAAAGCCGTGTGCCGGCTTGGTAGCTTAAAACTTAGGCTCGCGAAAAGGCTGAGCTCTATGGGTTTCAGGGTCAAAGCCTGGCGTTTCGGAGTTTAGGGCCCCAACACTTGGCACAGCCAGCTCCCTGAGGCCTGTCGCAGGCGCGAAGGGCTGCCAGAGCCGACTTCCAGCCCAAGCCGCGCCCAAAGGCAGAGACCTGGGTTCGGGGCTGCTCGAGTTTATTTAGTTGGGACTTCGGGTTTACATGGCAAAGACGTTGACGCCTTCAAGCATGTTTTGGGCCCAGCTGATCCCCAAGCCCAACCCCCAAAACCATGGCAAGACGGAGTGGGTTTTCAGGAATTTGCTGGCAATGCCAGTGGTCGCTTCTTGCCCGATGTTTGCATGAGTAGGTGAAGCCCTTCCTTACAGCACTCTTACAGCCCCCTTTCATCTAAACCTCAACATCCTAAACCCTAGAACCCTAGACAACCACCCCCAAATAACCACCCTCTTAGCAAGGATTTAGAGCACTGGGACTTCGAGTTGTGTCAAGGGACCGTGTAGAGTACGTACCTCTTTTACCTACGACTTCCCTACACTAAGACCCGCAAGAAATGCAAGGGGCGGCTCCGTGGAGCCTGCTTTAGTGTAAAGAATCGGAATTCGGGGAGAGCCGAACTAAAGCAGAAACGAATCAGGGTACCATTGGGGAGGGTTCGTAAGCCCCAAACCCTAGACCCTAGAGATAAGCCCACAGAAACGAGGGGGCACCATTAGACGGTCCTAAGATGCGCTGGATTATGCTGGACTATGGGCCGCGGACAAAGTGCTGACAAGTAAGATCCCCTTCGCCCCAAGAAAAGAACTCAAAACATATGCCACAGGCAAGGCCAAAACCCTAAACCCTAAACGCTAAACGCTGAACCCTAAACCCTAAACCCTAAACCCTAAACCCTAAACCCTAAACCCTAAACCCTATAAGCCCTAAGCCCTAAGCCCTAAGCCCTAAACCCTAAACCCTAACCCTAGCCCTAAACCCTAAACCCTAAACCTTATAACCCTACAACCCTACTAAACCCTGTAAGCCCTAAACCCCATGGAGGTGCTAGATTGTAAGAAAAAAACATACTGTTGGTTACCAGGGAATGAGGCAATTAGGGCCCTATATATAATATATATATATATGGTACCCCCCCCCCCATGGACCTACCTTTTTTTTGAAACCTCGGCTTGACCGATGTTTCAAAAAAGGGTGGCTTCTCCAAAACATTGGTTTTACCAATGTTTTGGAACCCCTACCTTCAAAAAACATTGGTTTTACCGATGTTTTTTGAGCCCATGCTCACGAAACATCGCAAAAACCAATAAAAACCATAAAAACCATGATTTTCCAAACTATAGGCTTGGGGTCTCCGAGTAGTTTGAAAAATCATGGTTTTTATGGTTTTTATTGGTTTTTGCGATGTTTCCTGAGCAGGGGCTCCAAAAACATTGGTTTTACCGATGTTTTTTGAAGGTGGCCTCTCCAAAACATTGGTTTTACCAATGTTTTTGAACCCCTACCTTCAAAAAACATTGGTTTTACCGATGTTTTTTGAGCCCATGCTCACGAAACATCGCAAAAACCAATAAAAACCATAAAAACCATGATTTTCCAAACTATGGGCTTGGGTCTCCGAGTAGTTTGAAAAATCATGGTTTTTATGGTTTTTATTGGTTTTTGCGATGTTTCCTGAGCAGGGGCTCCAAAAACATTGGTTTTACCGATGTTTTTTGAAGGTGGCCTCTCCAAAACATTGGTTTTACCAATGTTTTTGAACCCCTACCTTCAAAAAACATTGGTTTTACCGATGTTTTGTGAGCCCATGCTCACGAAACATCGCAAAAACCAATAAAAACCATAAAAACCATGATTTTCCAAACTATAGGCTTGGGGTCTCCGAGTAGTTTGAAAAATCATGGTTTTTATGGTTTTTATTGGTTTTTGCGATGTTTCCTGAGCAGGGGCTCCAAAAACATTGGTTTTACCGATGTTTTTGGAAGGTGGCCTCTCCAAAACATTGGTTTTACCAATGTTTCTTGAAGGTGGCCTCTCCAAAACATTGGTTTTACCCAAGTTTTTGAACCCCTACCCATGTTTTATATAAATTTTCTTGATCTAGAGCCATAGTCATATATAATGTCGCACACCATGTGATCTGCATGTGCCACCTTTTGGTACCCAAGGCCAATCGATCTCACTGAGCCGCCATGTAGGTTTCGGAGACTTCATCGATCCACAAAAAAATGGAATCCTGCAGAGCCGTCATGCGCGTACTTTCTGCTTTCGCTATGTGCAGTGACCTGCAAGCTGCAAGACTATGACACGGAGCTTCACTCAGCTCAAATTACTGTAGTTCGTTTCCCTGATACGATAAGAGTCACCATGGCTGAGCGTGATGGTGACACCGCAGTGAGCACCGGGCTCGATGCCACTCGAGGCATGCATCTCTCGAAGCAACTGCCCTACCCAATATGGTCTGATCAGGCCCTGGGCGGCATCTCCATCATGGATCTTCCTATGACGGAGCTGGGCAATACCAACACTCTTCTCAAACACTTCGTGGATGTGATCACGAATGTGCCGCCCCCCGACAAAAACACCATTGAGTCCTTGATTAATGCTGGCAAATGGAATGAGCTTCCTCCGCCTTTCTGTCCCAAGCAGAAGCTGGACGTCAAGCTTGTCCTTCAATTTGCCGTGCTCCCACTCACAAACGGGAATGTCTGCATAGTGAAGCATGTTCAGTCACCTGATCTCAAGCTGACAAAGTCTGTCGTGGACACCCTCTGCCACGGCACGCCCCATGTGCTGAATTGGCATGGTCGCAACGCTTACGATTTCAAGAAAGCATGGCAATGGTTCTTTGAACAGCTGGGAGGGTGGCAGTGTCGCTGCTACTCCCTTTCTGCAGTTGTTCCCCATCAAGAAAAGGCTTCCAAACAAGGCTACTATCTCTCTACCCTCTCGGAGGAGGATGTGGACAAGGGCTTTGCCTTCATCGAACAAGAAGCCGGCAACCTCGCAAGTGAGTGGAAGCGAGTGCAGTGGATCACTAAAAACCTCCACGTGAACCAGGACTCGCCTATTTTTCAGTGGCCCATCTCCACGGTCGAGAAGTCCATTCGTGCCATCCAAACCGATGGTGTCCTCGCACTTCCCGTAGAAAACTTCTTCTTCACCCTGGCAGACTTGGACTACCAGATTTTGAAATTTGGCGTCAACCCCATTCTCAAAACCATGACCACACATGCCGTGGGGGTAGTTGGAGGTCCGGGAAGTGGAAAAACGCCACTCGCCAGAATCATAGCCCTGTGTGCCTCTCGTTTTTGGAAACGTGAACAAGGCATCACATCTCCACCTTCGTATCGCGAGGCCTCCGAGTTCGACTTTTTCCGGGGTCACCCAGGTCGCAAAGACCGTCCTGACATTCATGATGATGGGCGGCTTGCTGAGGAACCCATCAGAAAAATGAAAGGTTTCACCGACGTTGGTTGTACTATGTTGACCAAAGAGCGGTGGGGCGCGGCTAAGTTCGTCCAAGGGCAAATGAGAGTCTTTGTCTGCAACGACTACGACTCCACTGAATGGATTGAGAAGCATCAAAACATTCGGGCCGGCACGGTTCTGCAGATGCCCCATGAGCAATTCCTCGAAGTCGTTTCCCCAGTCTTTCCTAAGGATACCAAGCTACCACACATCATGGCAGTCTTGAAGCGTGCCAATGTCTTGGTCAACGCGGGAAACCTGGTGATCTTCAGACGTGCCAGTCAGGAAGAGAACCGGGTCCCTTGTCTTGTCTTGCAAACTCCCGTGGACTACCTGAAAACAGAGGCACAGCAGAGGTACATGCTGTATCGCGAGAACAAGCTTGTCAAACCAGCTTCCTTCGAAGATGACGTCGCTTGGGAGGCCCGCTATCTGGACGCAGTCCTTCATGACAAGGTCCTTCCACTCCCCAACCCGACTATCATCAATGATGCCCAGCATCGTCTCTTTCATGATGAACCTCGCCCACCTGCTCACAGAGACATAGAAGCCGCGGCTCCTTCCTCACTGCCTGCAGTGCCCTCGGTTCCCAAAGCGGTTGCCGTCAAGAAAGAGTCTGTGACTTTCCGAAGGGCTCTTTCCAGTTTGCAGGGACATGTCATCGATCTTGACTCGCCTCCAAAGAAGGCCTTGCGTGCCGGATATGCAGACGTGAAGACTGAGATCTCGGATGCTGCAAATGAGCCTGCCAGCCCAACATCTTTGATGGCTGCACCCGTCCCCCCCTCGAAGCCTTCCTCACCGGGCTCGATGGCTGCACCCATCTCTCCCTTGAAGCCTCCCTCGCAAGGCTCGTCTATGGACATTCATGACCCAATGGATGACCTCTCACATGAAGAAGGCCTCGAAAATCTCTCCCAGGAGCTGGCCGATATCATCGACCAACAGGAGACCGACTGAAAGGAAACCAACATCTGAGTCTGTCTTTCGGCACTTTAGCTCATGGCATTCCCCGTGTCACTCACATATCTTTTCTTATATGTGCATTCTTTATATACATAGTAACACATAGTGCACACATTTCAACATATCATGCATATATATGTATATAATACGGGGGGAATTTTGATGCCATGATGCTCTGCAGCTAGTAAGAGAAGGAGAAAACGCGTCTCACACGACATGGCCCTGCGCCCTAAACCTTCGTCTGACGTGTGTGGCAAAGCAAATGAAGGTCGTTCAACGAAAAGGTCTTTTGCAAGCAATGTTCCTGTAAATCTGGCATGCTGACAGCAGCGGTTTCGAAATCTGCATGGTTATATTTTTGAAGCAGTTTTTTTGAGATCAAGCCAGATTTCCTATAGCCAGTTGCAGTTATGGGCAAGCGCTACAACCTCTTCCCTGATCCCAAGAAGGGCAAAGGACGGATGGTCCTGAAGAAGCCTGCAGGGGTCAAGTCAGCCTCGTGGTCCAAGGTGCCTTACCAGCGTCACAAACTAGGAGGAGGTTTTCTTCGCAAGGATCAGACGAAGTGGCGTCGCAACATCCAACAACTCCTAAAGGCAACCGACAACCAAATCTTGGACATGCTCATGAAGGACAAGTTCCTGCCGAACTGGGAGGGTTGTGTATGTCCTTTCTGCAACAAAGGTGTGCTGGGTCCATTGTCTGATAGGCCTTCAAGGGACACCAAGGCCTTCAGGTGCAACAAGAAGAACTGCCAGAAGTACGTCTCTCCGGCTCATCTGCATCCCCTCTTCACAGTCCTTCGTGGTCCAGAAGGGCACAGCCTCCAAGTGCAAGCTACTGCACTCCTCCTTCGCCTCGCTGGAGTTCCTCTGGCCACCATCCATCTGCTCACGAACATAAATCACAAAGCAATTGAGAGGCTCAACAGCAATCTCAATTTCCTCCGGAGTGGCCACGTCACACAGGTTGAGAAAACCATCAAGTTTGGGGGCGCCCCCAAGGCTTGGAGAGACGTGGAGGTGGATGAGGCTTGCTTCGACAAGCGGACTCTGAAGCCGTGGGAGCAAACAGAGAAGGATGCCCAGCAAGGCAAGAACACTGAGTGGGAACAGTGGGGAGGGTTAGTCCAGCGAGGATGTCCCAAGAGCTTGGTCCTATTCAAACTTCGCCCTGCCATCACAGTACCCAGAGCACCGGGGCCAGGTGCTATTCGCAAGGTAGACTGGACTCCAGTGGCCCAGAAGTGGCTCAAGAACAGGCGTGTCATCTTGCACTCGGATTCGGCCCGGTCATATCGCAGCAAGGTGGATGGAATGCTGCACGATGCAGTCGTCCACAAGAAACGCAGGGTCAAAAAGGGCAACAAATGGGTGTGGGTCAAGCCTGTGTATGTGAAGATTTCCACTCACAAGCTTCCGGATGGCACCGTCATCAAGACCAAGGGGGGCACCCAAATCATCGACCGTGCCTGGCGTTTTATCAAAGACCGTCTCCGATTAAACCAGCATGGCAAGGCATCCTCCAAGCAGCTGGCAGCCCAGATCCGTAGTGCACAGTACGAGTACTGGCACCGCAACGAGGATCTGTGGGTATGCACAGGCCAGCTCTTGGATGAGTACATGCGAAGCATTGTCACCAAGCCTGAGTGCTAGAGGATCAGCAAGACTGGGGTCGCTGCTTCTAGCATACTAACACCGCCTCGCCTGAAACCAAGACCATCTGATGTTTGCTAAGCACTCCCACGTCTCTGTGGAGCTTCGCCCTCGCTGTAAAACAGATCTGCCGTCACATCTTTTGCATGCTTTGCTCACAGCATCCAATTCCCAAGTCATCTCTCTGCCCGGGGCATCTGGCTCAGACACATGCCACACACACACACCAACAAAATTCGGACACCTGCCAACCACACACCAGCAAAACAAAGGAAATTGGTAGGTCCATGGGGGGGGGGGTAGCATATATATATATATATATACCCTTTAAGGCTTTAAGGGATAAGATAGGGTACCTCACATTCCCTGCTAACCAACAGCAAGTATACCCTAAACCCTAGCCCTAAACCCTAAACCCTAAACCCGATAACCCCATAAACCCTATAAGCCCCATGAGCCCTAAACCCTATAGCTGGTCCAAGAGTCGGCCACGTTGAAATTGCCCAGGTCCATCTGGATCCCCAGGCCCTGCACGCCCCTGGGGCTGGTTGGATGGCTCAAGTCTTAGGGTTTCGGGTTTAGGTGGCTTTGGGCTCATATGGGTCCAGGGTTAGGGTGGTTTTGGGCTTGGGGCTTAGATTTCAGGATGTAAAGACATCGGGATCCTTCTGAGCAGATTGGGATCTGAAGCAGGCTCCCAGAGCCTCAATTACGGGGCCTTCCGGGCAGCTTGACCAAAACCACCCCCTCAACCTGAGCCAGCCCCAGGACACCTGAACCCTAGTTCCCCTAAACCTGATACAACAAAAAAAGAAGAAGCCCTGATAAATCATGCGGCCAACGGTAAGTCCACAATCAACGCAAGACTAATCAGCCCCAAGCCATCCTGTGAACCGTAAAGCCCGGTGACCCCTGCTGCCACGCAAAACCGCCGGTGCCACAAACACCAAACCCTGGGATTAAACCCTAAACCCTCAACCCTCAACCCTAAACTCTAAACCCTGAACCCTAAACCCTAAACCCTAAACCCTGACTCCGGGGCCCGTTCGAAGCTCACAATCGACCCACAATTACCCCCGAGTTCTTCCCACACGTTGTAGAGTGCTCCGCGTCCCCCTAATGTGGGTGTTTACGACAAGAAGGGACCCCAAATAGTAGGATTCAATGTAGAACCAACCTAGCAGAGTTTTAATGCAGCTGCGTGGCCCAAACATCGCGACGGACGACTCCCACGCCTGCTCTGCTTCGAAACCCATCCCCCTACACCCTGAACTCCTGAACCTTAAACCCTGAACTCCTGAACCATGAACGAACAGCCGTGAACACAGTCCTAAACCACAGCTTTCTCGAGCCGCGGGCCGAAGACTCCCGTATGTTCCGCCCTCCTGAACCGTAAACCCTAAACCCTATAAACCCCAAACCCCAAAACCCTAATCCCCTCTAGTCCCTAACACCAGAACCCTGGAGCTGAGACGCCGCAGTGCCTGAACTAGCCCCTAAACTCCAAACCGACCCCCCACACACCGCAAAATCCAGTGACCCCTAAAGCCCTAACGCCTGCTTACCTGTAAACCCAAAACTCTGAACCCTAAACCCCTGAACCCCCCGAAACCCCCGAAGCCCCCTAAAGCCCCTAGACCCCCTATAAACCCTATAAACCCCCCAAAAGCCCCCTAAACCCCTAAAAGCCGCGTGTCTCGCCTCGGCCCGAGAGGCTGCGCTGGTGGCACTGCTGGCGGTGAAGCGGTCAGGCCGTAAGCGGCGGCCTCGGATTTGACACAAAAAAGAGGTTTGCGTGGGGAATATAGGCTGTAATAGGCCTTGTGAAAGGTTAAGACAGGTTTCGGGTTTAGGGCAGTTCAGGTTCTGCAGGGAGGGCTTTCTAGATTTCAAGGTGTACAGCTGCACATCGGTACAGCTTTGAAGGCGTTGTAGACTTTTCGACGATTTGCTGCGGTGCTGGCCGTTTCCAAGTTTGCAGCTTGGTCTAGATAACCTTCGTAAAATTCGGATCCGGGAGCTGTAAGGGTTTGAGCGGATACCACTAGTCACAAAAAACATCGCTGGCTTCCCCCTCCGCAACCAAGAAGAATCTCAAGCCCTGCAATAAGCCCTGCAACCTGAACCTAAACTTGTAAACAGGGGGGGGGGAATGGCTGTGCAGGCTGTGCAGGGTTTTGTCGGCTCGCAGGCCGCACGCGCTTTTGGGATGGCTGGATGGACACCGATTCGGATTGGTGGTGCTATAGGAGGCTTGAGGTCTGAGGCTTCGGTGCTTAAACATGTTGCAGCTCAGCAGCTTTGCATGCGGAGCAGCATCTGCGATGCGCGCAGCCACTGTGAAGCCTTGTCGAAGGCATCTGCCAGGGAGTTGCATGAAACGTCGTCCAGGTCTTGGGAGCTTTGGGCAGCTGCCACAAGCTCCTCGCCTAAGCGCCAATGGCTGCCACGTGCACAGCAGCTAAGCGCCGAGTTGAATGAGACGATGTCAGGTTGGATCCGCAGGCTCGGGATGTGGGACACCAGGAGCTGCGCAGCTTCCTCGGCACCATCGCAGGTGGCCAGGGCCGCATTGGCCAGGAAGGCATCAGCCTGCACGTGCTGGCACGGCAAGTCAGCCAGCAGGCCCAGAGCGTTTGTCCACTGGCTGTGGCCACCACGATAGGCAAACATCAAATTCCCAGCGGCCGTCGCGGAGGCCGGCAAGTGGCGATGCTTGCGCTCTTGCTCGATGAGGGCGGCTTGCTCCCAAAGATTCGACCGCGCCACAGCCCCCAAAGCTGCGCTCAGGCACGGGGTGTCAGCCTGTAGCGACTGCCGGCCGATGTACCCAAAGAGCTGCAGCGCGCCAAACCACACCTACAGTAGCATGCAGAGCCCTGTTGCATCGGCCTAGGCTATACCTGGTGATCTTCACAAAAGAGATTGTTAAGAACGACACAGCTTCAAGAACTTTAACTTTGTAATCAAGATACACTCTTCCGGTCGCAGGCGGTGATGACAGCGCTGCAGGCAAAGGCATCTACCTCGAGGAGTGCGGTGCCAGCACCCTTCAGGGCGGCCAAAGCCTTCCGCCATCGGGAGGCCCGGGCGACCGCGGAGAGAGTCTTCGTAAACTCCAGAAGCGCCTTGGCTGCAGAGGGCTCATGTGGGTCGACTTTAAGGGCTGTACCCTGCAAATGACCCTTAAAGGGGGGGTTTAATTACGACGGTTAAGTGTGCGGCTTGGGGTTGCAGGTAGGGGTGTGTCTCTGTGCACGCTGCTCAAGGAGCTCAAGATGAAAGGCGAACCTACGTGGCCCGTAACACCACAAACGCGCCAAAACCGCCAAAACCTGACCTCTTCGTTTTTGGGTGGCGGGCGATCTTGCCAGCCCTGAAGATGGATCAACACTTCGCCACTATAAGCACAAGACCTGCTCGTTACACGTGCCTCTGAGGCACTGGGTCCTTCCGAGCACCCTCAGTTGGGCGGTCAGCCGCGGCAAGCGACATGTCACGCCCATGGCCTCCCAGTGGAACGGCCAAATCATGGCTGTGGCCCGAAGACCCGAAGGGCCAACCTACTGGCGTCAGGACCCCTCCGTACAGGGTCCGAGTCCCCAAGCAGATAGCAGCAGCTCAGTTGACAGGAATATCCTTCTTCTTGTTTGTTGAACCATTGACCCATTGACCCCACTCAGCCCCTGTAAACCTTGAGCTCCTCAGGTCTTCAAGGTAAAGCTCAAAAATGAAGCTCAACAGTCAAGCTCAATAGCCCTAAGCCCTGTATGTAAAGCTTCACACTCCTCAAGCCCTATGATGTGTCTTCCTCGGTTGGATACTCGGACCCTGCGCGGAATCTGGTCGCACGGGAATAAGGAGCGGCCCGGTCGCTGTTACGGGGCTTCGGGGGCTTCAGGGTTGAAGCTTAGGTTGGGTTTAAGGGTTGAAGCTTAGGGTTTTGGGTGGGTTTAAGGGAATTTTTTGGGGGGGTTGCAGGGCTGCTTTGAAGGAGGCTACCATGCATGGCTGAGAGGAGCTACCCTCGGGTTTAGGGTAATTAGGGTGTGGCTCTCATCCTACTGCCGTCACTCGCCGGCGGAAGCGCGCGCGGACGTTGTCATGAGGGTATCATGAGGGAACACGAAGATGGGGTAGTGTAGGTGGAGAAACAGCTCCGTTGCATTTGCAGTCTTGCAGTGCTCACTTTGGCACGCCGCGTCGCACGCAGGCAGCAGCTTGCACCTTCGGACATCCCGCCCTCTGCTGATACTTTGGGACCCCACCTATTCCCTGCAAGCCATGCAGCCCTCAAGCAAAACTCCTCGGGTGTACAGCACCAAGAGGTCGCAGCGACACCCACCTGCAGCACACAAGGCAGCTCAGGCTCCGAAGGTCTTAGGCTTAGTGTTGAAGCTCTGATCAGGGCCACCATCGAAGTTACACACCGACCTGCCTTTGCCCTACAGCCTAAACTGCCCAAAATGCCCGAACTGCTTCTGCTTTCATACCCTTGGCAGAAGCCGAGGAGGCTGCCACCGAGAGCGCTGCAGTCCGCACGCCAGGATCGGCGTCTTTGACGCAGGCCTCATGATCCATTCAACAATACAGTAGTATTTTCACATAATAGTGCCATACAATAATCAAAGAGTATAAACATGTATTAGCATAATCGTAGAACTCTCTTTCTGGGCTTAGGGGCGACGTTGGGTTCTAACTACAGCAATAAGCCGCAACCATCTCAGGCTCGGCCTCCAGGCTCTTCCCTTGTAGCCTCAAGGCCTCAAGCCCTTTTACCCTGGACCACAGAGTCCGAGAAGCCTACTGGGAGGGGGATCGAAATTGAAGGCCTAAAAGAGCTACCCGAAAGAGCGGCCAGAATGTAAACCCTAAACCCCAAACCCTAAACCCTAAACCCTAAACCCTGAGCCCTGAGCCCTGAGCCCTGAGCCCTAAACCCTAAACCCTGAACCCTACCTGGAACATGAAACGTTCAATTTTGCAGTGGAAATCTGCGTGCGCCTAGAAGTTTAACAGGACATTTCCTTTTAGGATGTTTGCGTGTTTGCATGTTTTTGAATGCCGCTCAAAAATGGCCGAAGGCCTAGATTTTGGTAGGTGCTTTGGGGTCCAGGTAAACCCTCAACCCAAACCCTAAACCCTAACACCCACCCACATGCCCGAAAAGGGCCCGGCTGCTAAAGTGTGGCCGATCTCGGAGTACTGACCGTGCAGGCGTCCGCCCATGGAGCGCACCTCGGGGAGCTCCAAGGAGTTTCGGGTTTAGGGCTTGGGGTTTAGGGTTTACGGGCCTGGGGCTTTTGGGGGAATTGTCACCCTTTCTCAGGCGTTTGAGTGCATTGCTTATGGAAAGGTGCTTGAAGGGTCGGATTCCCTGCTTTGAGGGCTTATGGAACCAAAGCTTCTTCTTCCAGCGGGAAGGTAGGATCGAAGTGCATCGTGGAACCCTGCAAGCCCCATACACCCTCAACTTGGATGTTCCTCCATATACTAGTAGTCCTTAATGGGTAATATAATTGGGGGTACTGTAATCCCGATTAAGGACTGCTAGTATGAGGGTGAACATCCCAACCCTCAACCCTAGGGGAGATCCTAAGCCCGCATGGCTGGCAAAGAGAGCCCTGGAGCCCTCCAGATCAAGAAAGGCCAAGGGCCCTGCAAGCTCTCGCGCTCAAACCCTGAACCCCTTGACTCTAAACTCGTTCTTGGATCCGTCGGTTAGACATTGAACTTTTTATGGCCTTTCAGCTAAGCATAGCCGACAAGATGCAATTATGTGCTTCCCAAAGCGACTGGTACAACAGAACACCTTAAGGGCCCCTAAATACCCACACACCCTAAGGCACTGACATCCAAACTGCCTAACACCCTAACTGCCCTTCAAACAGGGCCTGCTAACATAACAACAACCCTAGGCCTAGAAAGCCAATACTTCGACCCTAAACGCCCTAAAAAAAAAAAAAACACGCAGCAAAAGTCCTGTTCCCTTCAGGTCCCCCCCCCCCCCTCTCCCCCAAGAACCCTCTCAGACTACTCGAGATGCTCAAGGAACCCGGCGGACAAGAACCCTAAACCCTAAACCCTAAACACTAAACCCTAGACCCTAAACCCTAAACCCTAAACTCTAAACTCTAAACCCAAACCCTAAACCCTAAACCCTGAACCCTAAACCCTAAACCCTAAACCCTAAACCCTAGACCTTAAACCTTAAACCCTACAGAAAAATAGAACACAAGCACCAATGCAGAGCAAAGCAAACTCCTTAATGACAACAAAACGATCCACGTATGATCTTGTAGTCCTGAAACCCTGCACCCCCTATAATATAGCCTAAGCACATTTACAGTTGAGGCTTTTTTAGTTTTATAGGGTCTACGGTTTAGGGTTTGAGACCAAACCCCGATATTAGCTGTAACGCTATAACCTCAAAACCTCGGAACACAACAACTTTGATCTAACCCTCCCAACCCTCCGATTTCATACTCCCCCAGTACTAACCCGAAAACATAGCTTCGAACATTTTAGCGAGCAACAAACATGAAGCAAAACTAGCTTGCATAGACAGGATGAGACGTTCCATTCCGAAAATCATTCTTTAGAACAAGCTGGATAACCAGTCTGACTCCACTTTTGCCTTTTCACAAACGTCCAGAGCGATTTGCGATGATTGTTTTTAGCCACGAAAAATCGGCCGAAAAGTAGATTAAAATTAGGGGCCTCCATTGACGATTGCGCCGTTTGCCCCCTGAAACCCCAAACAAGCCTTAACCTTCTCTCCAAGGCATGTTTGGGGTTACCTTAAACCTATTCTGAACTACCCAAAAATTAAAATGATTTCTAAGTATCCCTAAGAAACCCGCAAAGCCATGTCAAGTGCGAGGCGCCAGTGAAGCCAAGAGCTCCAATGCGGCGTGGCGCCGCACCGGCACATCGTCGGCTGCGGAGGGGGGGGCGATGTCTTTATTTTTTTGGGCGGATAGGGCTTTACCTTAGGAGCAAATCTTGGCTTTTGGGTTTGAGGTTTCCTGTGTTGTGATTCCGGTTCATGGGGAGATTGGGGGCGTTTCTTATAGCTTTGGGTTTGGGGTGAGGGTCTGAAACTCCGCAAGACAGGAGCACTCCTCCTCCACATATCCCTTGGAAACCCAAATCCCAGAAAAGCCGAAGCCCACCTAAGGCCCAACCCTAAACGCCAAACATATTATAAGCTTTAAAAGCCCTACGCATACTAAGAAATACTAAGCCCTTATAAGCCCGAAGGCCAGCCCCGAAACGCTAAGCCAAGAGTACCGCAGCCCTGTACTCAGGGGAAGAAGGTGTGTAGTCAATTCGCCCTGCAAAGCTCTGGTTGAGCGACAGCACCCGGGGGCGGGGCAAAGCAGCCGTCCAAGGACAGTGAGCAAGTCCTTCGCAGATTGGCATGTCCAGATACGTCTGCTCAGCAGATGTGCGCAGATCAGGTACTTGGGTACAGAGGGATCACTTCCAGAGGGGCCATTTGCAGGCGCTACCCGTAGCTGAGGCAGGTGGCTCCAAACCAGGACGCTGGCTGCCCGAGCTCCACTACCCCTGCAATAAAGACACTGCCCACTCATCAACCCACGTCCCAAACCCTGAGCCCCAAGTCCTTAACCCCCAAATCCTCGCCCTACACGTCCATCGTCACACCTGCAACCTAGCCTTGGCAGGTTTAGGGTTTACAGTAGCCCTTAGAGGGTGTCGGAGCCCTGAATCCTGACAACTCGAAGCTCCAAACTCACACAAGAGAAAGAAATGGCCCGCGGGTACCCCTGTCTGCTTACTCCGGTACCCCTGTCTGCTTACTCAGGTATAAGGTTTAGCCCTCCCCCCAAACAAAGAGGGCTAAATCCTAAACCCAAACCCTAAACTCCAAAACCCTAAACCCACTTGGGGGGGGGGGGGGGCAGCCTGCCATACCGTGTTGTGGCGCAAGGCTATGGTTTGGCAAAGCGCGTTGCATGCCTGGCAAAGCAGGGTTTAGGGTTTTGGGTTTGGGGCTTGGGGTTTGGGCCCCCAAAACGACGGCGTCACTCCCCAACACCCTTGTCTCGCGGATTCTCGCCTATCGTGTGTCGAGCATTGTGGGGGGGGGGGGGGGGGGAAGGAATCTTGTCGAAGCCCCAAGTCACCTTGTGGAAGGAATCTGTTTTTTTTTTCAAAAAGGGAACCCAACCGATAAACACGTAGAAAACAACAAGCTGGTCACTGAGGAAGCTAGACAATGCCCCAAACCCTATAACCCTGTCACCCCTCAACAGCCCTAAGCCCTAAGACTCAAAAACCGCAAAACCCTAAGACCCTGTAACCCTGGAGCTTTTTAACCCTATGGCCCTGTGACCTTACACTCCTATGACCCTAAAACCCGCTGGCCCGATGACTCTCTAGCACCATGACCCGATAAAGCCTGCCCTCGTACTTGGCTACTTGGCCTCTCCCAGAACCCGGAGAACTGGTAGCTCCAGGGAGGTGCAGTAGCACTCGACCAATGCCGCCTGCGGTGCTGGCTCCCGTAGGGTTTAGGGTTGAGGGCTTAGGGTTTGGGGTTTGGGGTTTGGGGTTTAGGGTTTAGGGTTTATAGGGCTGACTACATACAAGTGGGCCACCTACTGCAACAGGGGTCTAATTAGTGACCCTGTGACCCTCACTTAGAGAACAAAGTCCCACGTGTAGCTCTTCCCCACCCGGCTCGACGACCGGGAGGCCGAAGGTTCACAAGCTGAAGGTGAGAATCCCCAAACCCACAACCCCAAACCCTGAACCCGAAAACTATAGCCCCCGAATTCCTCGAGCTGACACCCTCTAGGCAGCCCCAAGAATCAAAGAGCTCCTGCTTAGCCGCTGTTTATGAGGAAATCACCTTCCGGAGAACCTTGGACCATGAGCTAAAATGCCTACATCCCACGAAGGCGTAGTTCGAAACATTTGCAGTTCTGTAGACCTCGAAGTATCATGTTGCTTGTGTACCTGGAGCCTTGGGGTTAGGGCCGAGCTTCGGAGAGCTTAGGAATTCTGCATAAACCCCAATCCCTCAACTCAGGGCGCAGCCTTTGGCTAGAAGGTCGGGGGTTCCAGCCGTATGGCTTGCAATATTTCAAGATCCGAGCCCCGCACCCCGAACATCCCTGACCCTAAAGTGCCTCAAGCTCGAAAGTCTCAGAGGGCTCCACTTTCCGCACGTGTCTTTGCGCAAGGGTTCCAAACTTCAACAGGTCCAGGCCATGGAACGTGCATCCTGCTGGCGAGTAGCTGCGACGGCTCAACTAAACCGGACCTTCAGTTGAAGACGTGGCCGTAGGTGGCATTAGTAGCTTGAAAACCCGTAGGAAAGCCCGAAAGCCGGCTTGGCCCCAAAAGAAACTGAAAGAAGGGCACCCATGCAGGGCCACCCAAGACTTTCAATCAAGTGTGCTACCGAGTTTCTTTAGGGTGGACACCATGTAGGGATTATAGGCTTTAGGGCTGACATCTGCTGGCTGTCGATCCTTCCTTGATGCGAGCCCCCCCCCCCCCCCCCCTAACCTTGCAAAGCCTAAGAGAAGATACCAGCCAACCTTTAGGCGCTGGCGAGCTGCCCTACAAGGTGAGCCCTACAAAACAGCCCTGAAGTGCACTGAAGTGCACTAAAGCTTCTGAGTCCTTGCTATGGCACCACCTCTGAACCCGACCAGCCTCGCCGAATGCAAGGTACACTGGCCTGCTGAGATCAACTAGTTTTCCGAGGCCGCATGCAATTCTGCATGCCCCCCGGCCTTGCATCCTCATGCAGAAAATTAGGGAAGATGGAGGGGCTCTTTGGGGCTTCCATGTTCGGATGCTGCCTTTTTTTGATCCTGGGAGTTGAGGGGAAGCTACCTGCACCCATAGACGCCCCCAAGGGCCCTTCAAAATCGTGCAAGCTGTTCGTGTGCACAAAGAGAGCCCGGGCTCAGGTGCCAGGGCTCTCCCGGCAGAAAAGCAAACGAATGCCTCCACTCCAGCCCTACGCGGATCTCAAAGTGTGACGAACCCTCGACTCTAAGGAACTGTATATACACTCTTAAAACTAAAACCCGCGACGAAAATGGGGGGCTTGGGGTTTAGGGTGAAGGCCTGAGACCCTTGCATTGAGGCCTCAAAACTCAAACTGCTACGACCAAACACCCAAAACCCCCACATCCTTCAACGCTACACCCTATGCCTCTTGTGCTGGTCTTCACCTGGCAAAGCCAGAAGCTGTAGACCTGCGACCCTACACCACCCAACAGGGTGTCAGGAAACCCTCACGAATAACCCTAAACCCTAAACAAAAAACACGAAGGACTGGTGGAGGTGGAAACAGGCGCTGCCACAGGGAGCTGCTCATCTTACTGGTTCTTGGGCTCGGGGCAAATGATTTGGGGGTGTCCGAAATTAGGGGTACTTTTTTGGGGCTTATTGTTGGGGTCCCCTATTTTCGTAAACCCCCATTTGGGTTAATCCCTTGAAGGGGACAATCCTTCACGCTCCAAAGCTACCGAATTGCCGGGTTCTCTTCTTTCAGGACCAGTAAGTCGGTCTTTCCGCAGGCTTCCTCAAACCCAAGGCCCTATATACGCCCCCCCCCTAGTTGCCTTAAGACCCTATTAAAGCCCCAAGCACTGGAAGCTTATGGCTTCCAGTCTCCTTCCTAACACGCTCTTTCATTCTTGCATGTTCCGCTTCCTTCCTTCCCTCAGCACTCCACCCTGTAGCCCCCACTGTCAAGCCTTGGGTCTTCAGCCTTTAGACTTAGTGACTAGTAGGGTTCAGGCTTTAGGGTTTAGGGTTTAGGATGCTTGGGCTTAGTAGGGTTGCAAGGATTTCGGGCGCAAGGGGCCGGGGGATTTTGGTGGGTTGAGCCTTGAGCTGTGGACTTAGGCGCTGGGGCGGCTTCAGGACCGTGTTTTTTGAGTTTCGGGTGTCGGGTTCAGTCTGTAGGGGTTCAAGAGGTTTAGGGTTGGACATTGTTGGAGTTTGGGGTCTAGTCGGGTCCAGCCTTGTTTCGCGGGCTGATGTGCGCCATAGGTAGCGGAGGGTGCCGGCGGAAAGAACCCCGGAAAGCTGCTCCCTTGTAAAACAGCCCAGACACCCGGACGAGGGCGCAAGTGAAAATTGACGAGCACGACACTATCCAGGAAGTCCAGAAACAAAGGAAGAAACGGCGTGTGGCTTGAGCACTCGGCGCAAGGACAGCACTGCTTGTCTCCTGATGTTCAAGCCCTGAATACTCCCAGGCTGCCCATTCAACCTGAATCCTGGGCCAAATATTCAAGCCGCACTGGTACTACTTACAATCGATCGAACTCTTGGCGTTCGCTGTCGGAAGTCGCGACCTTTGCATGTCTTTCCGGCTTTGGGGGGAATTGTAAGGGCTTAGGCTAATTGTCCTGAACCCAAACCCTGAAGACGGTCAGGTAGTTGTCTTTTCGGGAGTGTTGTCGTTGCAAGGATCAAGGACGGAACCGGGTTTAAGATCTAGGGTTGAAGGTGCGCAGGGCTTCTAAGGTCTGCTTGCAAGTAGGGGCCCCCCCTTACTATACCAACTTCAATTAAGGGAACTATAACCTAAATAGTACGACTTATAACCTAATCTAGGAGGGCCCTGATACCCCTATTTATGACTAGGGGACCCCTACATGTAGGTTATTAAGATTCGGGAATAGGGATTGTGTGCGGCTGTCCTACTGATCATTCCATATGCCAGTCCCACGTCACCCTTCGAGTGTGACAGTTCAGATGGTGCGGTCTCATCCAACGAGCCACAACAACACAATCTGGTTTAGGGATTAGGGTTTAGGGTTTAGGGTTTCGTGAATGCAGATGTGCAGAAGTGCTGCTCATACAGGGATAACGATACAGCCAATTGGCACAAACAGCTGAATACAATGTCTTGATTGCTTAACACAACATTGTACGGTTTGGTATGACCGCCGTTCTGCAGGCGTGCCGTTGAGATTGTAAGGCGCCAGCATAAATCAGACCCCCGAGAACCTGCGCAATGGCGACTGGCACCTGGCAAGGCAGCTTCGAAGCACAAGACGAGACAATACAGTACAGTGCAATACAATCCAATACAATATCCCAGTATATACTTCACCTGGCGGTAAAGCTTGACGTTCCGGACACTTGGCAATCACTGAAACCGTCAATCCTGAGTGTCCCCGTCCAAAAACCTTGGGTTGCGTCATGGAGGGGAGGCGTTGCGGTCTTTGCTTTAGTCATGGGGTAACCCCTCTTCGTTGGCTCAAAGGCGCGAAGAGACCCAATCCAAAGGACCCCGTCTCATCGATGAGCTTGCCGATGAACTCAATCACCTCAGCGCAACCAAGTTTCATGGCACGAGACAAGGCATTCACCATGTCCTGCCACATGTCTACGTGTCCATCCATGTGGGGGGGGGGGGGGGGGGGGGAATGCATCTGGATACGCTTCGCAAGTGCCAGCTGTGTACCATGTAAATGCATGTCCTATCCTATGCGATCCAGTGTTGGGGTTTGTTCTTCTCTGTACGACGCATGACGAGAAAAAGACATATACCCTACACACACAGATATATATATATATATATATGTATATATATATATAATATGCATACGCATAGAGATACACATATGCATGTGTCTGTATCCCTGCGGGTCGTGAACTGCAACGGGAGTGCACACCAAACCTGACAGAAGCCATTGCTGAAGCGCGGCTGGGATGGGCGCTATGGCTCCTGTGAGCGCGAGCTCGGACTTCTTTTCTGAGAGCATTTTAGACTCCAGGGTTGGATTAGGGGTGAATTGGGATAGAACGGTTCAGCAGGAAATGTGCCCAAAGAAAATTCGAGATTTCCAACTCAACCCCGGTTTAGGCTTGTATGCCAAACCGTAGACCCTAAACGTCAAACCTGATGCCCCAAACTAGACCTGCCTGCAGCCCAAACCCTACGCATGAAATCATGGCTCATACCAACTTAAGTAATTACAGGGTGAAGCTCTCCCCCCCCCCCCTAGTCAATGAAGCCAGGTAGTCCCTGTCCCTCAACAGTTGAGTCGGTGTCCTGCCGTGGTGGACAGGGCCAGCAGGGCCTGGGCTGCCCTAATAAGGCCCAGAAGTACTGAACCCTAAACTCAGCTGTTCTTGGCTGTCCCTTACACTTCCATGGGCCTTTTTTGAACAAACTTTAACTCCCCAAGTAAACCTCAAACCGTGAAACTTTAGCGGAAGGCTTGGGGGAAGGACCAGGCTTGAGGGCTTGGATTCAGGGTTTCAGGGATTTCGGGCTTAGGGGGTGAAGGGGTTTCGGGTCCGCGGGTTTTTGCGGATTATTTTGCGGGAATGTGGGATACCAGCTCTAGGGGCTCACGAGTTCAGGGCTCGTGGCCCCACAAAATAGGCAGACCGGCACCCCTTAAAGACTACGGGCGTGCACATCCTCTTCCCCTCCCAGTAGGGTACACGAGGACTTAGACAAGGCTTCGAATTGAAAGGAAACAGGCACTGGGTGGGTCTCTGAAGTTGAACGGCTCGAAGGCCCCGTAAGGGTACTAGAGGCTCTTTCTATATGGGGTTTACTATAATAAGAACCCCAATAATTAAGGTAACCCAAAATTTCGGAAACCCCCACATCCCAGAGGCTTAGGTTGGACCCTTCGGCACTTAGCCTGAACAATTCCGAGCCTCCTAACTCCTCTTCCGCGCGTAGGCAAAAGCCTCGTCGTTGCTAGCCATGTTACGCCCGCGTATCGCGGGCTGAGGTCGGCGTGGGTGCAGAAAAGCCCAGCTCGATCCGCAGACTTCCTAGCATTGACAAGGTCTAGATTTCATAGATAGGGCCTATGTACCGTTCAAACAAACCGCTGCCTCGAGAACCAAAGATAAACAAGCACGACGGGGGGGGGGGGGGGGTTTTAGGGATCTGCAGGAAGCAGAGAGGGTGGAACTTTGAAGGGGCGGCGTCTGGGTTGGTGGGGTTTATGCAGAGTCTGCAGAGTTACCGGACTCACGTGCACCCTTCAGCTGTTGCGAGTCTGCCGCTGCTTCCGAGTCTCAGCGTGGTCGCGGCCACCAGGAGGGCCACCTGCTTGGTCCACGCTCAAGATAAGGGCAGCGCTGCTCATGCGACATGGCAGTTTCCGAAAATAGGGGTACCCTGTTTGGGGGTCCCGTTAAGGGGATTCGGGATTCTATTGAATTTGGGGTATAAAAAGGGTACCCCCCCCCCATTTTTCGGATACCCACATGCTCGAAAGCACCAGACGCTTCAACAAAGCACAACTCGAGTGATGTGTGAGCATGGATTTTGCCCCGTGGTGAGAAAAAAGCTACTGTGTTCACCTTGCCAGGTCCATGCTGCTGCCTGGCATATAATTAGCAACAGTTCTGACAACACAAATTAGTGTCACAGTATGCGAAGAGACATCATCACAACGTGGACACCGAACACTTTCCCCCAACCGCTCAAGTCTGACAACGAGAATACAATGCGACTGCGCATGCGGACGCGAAGGAAGCGTCAGTCGAGAGCGAAAGAGCGAAAGAGGCGGAGAGCTGCAGAGTGTTCGCAGGGGAGTGAGAGGATCGAAATTGGGAGGGTGCAGGGAAGAGATGGAGGCAAAGGAAACGAGAAAGAGAGAGAGAGAGAGAGAAGAAAGCAAAAAGCAAGGAGGAAAAGATGGAGAAAAACAACGAGAAAAGTGGTTCAAGCAACACAAAGCACAAAGACAAAGGCAGAGAGGCAGTGTCAGAGAGTGGCAGGCAAGGGAGGAGCCGGGGGGAGAGGAAGGGCTGAGAAAAGGGTCACGAGTAATTTAGGGCGAGCTCACCATGCCACGAGCAAAGCCACCCTGCCTGACCAACAGTTCCTGGCAGGGGAGTCGGAGTGATGAGGGGTCCCTATACCCTGAACTTGGGATGTTCCCCCTTTTACTAGCAGTCCTTAATAGGGAGTATAATACACCCACCCTATTGTCATCCCTATTAAGGACTGTTACCCCCTATTATTATCCTTATGAATGAAGGACTGTTAGTAGAAGGAGAAACAACCCAACGCTTAACCCTATAAACCCCCTGGGCGTACGGGAGAACGTGATGCTCACTGCCGGGGCGAGAGGTGCGGGCTTGTATCGGGCAAAGACCATCTTGCGTCCGTCTTTGCAACAAACGCTGCAAAAGTCTCTCAGATCCCTCAGCCACCAGAAACACATCGGGACAATGTGTCCGGAGTCTGTGGGATGAGATTGACATGCTGGGTTGGCTTATACGATCTTCGCATGCCCCTCAGAATTTATGGGTCCGGGCTGCGCAAATCGGGGATCACCTCACCTTGGAAGCCTCTATCAAAGGTTCACTGTGGAATTTCATGGCTGGGGGTTGCTTTTTGGGGCTGCTAGGACTCGCGCGATGTGACATCCTCCGCTGCTTTGAACAAGGTAGCAGGGTTGCCTAAGACTTGTACACGGTAGAGGGCTCCGCAGCCAAGATGCCAACAACAACCCAACAAAGCTTTGCGCAACCATCGAAACAGAGCTCCTGTACGACCTTTGCTGTATGCATTCCTTTGCTTCCTAATCTCGAAGACTCCATGACCGGACGGCACTGGTGAGAACCGAGCCTGATTCTTTCCAAATAGAAGGTTCGGTCAGTGCTAGAACTCCTGAGGGTGCGTACCCGAAACCCCGCGAAGCCCTAAACCTAAATGCAAGCCAAAGTCTGGCAAACCCTATACCATCAAAGCGCGAAACTTCAACTGAAACCCCCAGCCCACGCCTAAGGATGGTCCGAGGAATGCGTTGAGGAGCATGCAGATGGCGCCACCGAAGAAAGCCACACCTTCAAATGCACATTGCATGGATCTGAAGTATGGGCCCGTTTAGTAGTCTATGGCAACATAAAAAAACCATGACTTAAGGTTGTGGCCTTTAGGGCATAGGGTTTGCTGTAGGGACTTCGGGCATCTGGGCCTCTATGGGGTGCAGGATTGGGTCTCATACGCACTCATCTGACTCAGCGGAACGAACAGGAGAGCCATGCTAAGGACCTGACTTCATCGTGACTACTGACATCAAACTCAGGAACCTGCTCTGTTTGTCCAGTTTCTCTGGGAAAGACTGGAACCTCTCGGGGTCACAAAGGAATACGAAAGACGATCCCCCCCCCCCCCCAGAAAAACACCTACCCAATCCTTACTTGCTCCACTGCGCATTTTCGGCCCGGCCCATTAAACGGAATCCGGAAAGCGAACTGAAAAGAAAAGACCTACAGCTTACCTGAAAGCCATGAATCTCTGAAGCCTCCAAGGCCCCAAAACTATGGCAACCCAGAGGTCTCCCAAAGCCCTCCGGGGTTTAAGTGTAGATTTGAGAGTTGACGGTCGAGGGTTTAGGGTTGCGGGTAAGCCCTCAACATCGCCAACAAAAATGCCACTGAATTTGAGAGTTTAGGGTTGCGGGTTTAGGGTTGAGGGTTAAGCCCCCCCCCCAAAAAAAACATAATGATAATAAATCGCTGCCCCGGTGCCTTGGAAGACCCGTCGGAGGAAGCTGACCTCCCAACCTCTGTCATGAAACCCGGTACTTTGAGGCCTCCAAGGGGTTCCCAGAACAAGATGGGGGGCAAAGAGAGTTGAAGAGTTTCAGTGCGACATTGCTTCGTGGTCTAAGCTGGGCAGAGACGTCATGTGGGACCCTCCGGATTCTTGGAATAGCGCCTTTGTGGTTCATGCGCCATGCCTCAAAGAGACTCTCGTAAACAACAGCGCTCCTAGTAATTGGAGAAGTTAAGACAGAAAGTGACTAAACATACGTAAAATACGTACTAAGATAATTTCCGGGCCAAAATGGAAACGCACGACACTGGCGCATCCGATGCTGCACTCGAAGCCTGTAAACGTCTTGCGCCCCACCGTGGTGTTAAGAAGACGAGAGGGCGCTTGAGGTTTAAAGCAGCAATACACTCGGCCCCAGCCCCCGAACCCTCCCCCCCCCCGCAAGTTGTGCATTGCATGACCACGCCGGCCAATGCAGTCTGATGAGGGGGTCAAGATCAAGAGCTTTTTAGGGTCTCTTCATTGTTTGATGCTTGCGGGGTATTCGGCTCGGAACCTCAATCCTTCTGCCCAGGGGCCGTCTTTGAGCAGTTTGTCTGCCAGCTGACCAACCAAGGGGCTTGCCAAAGCACCTCAGCTGAGTTCTGAATTGGTAAGGAACCGGAGACTCAGGGTTCTCCAGATTCTCCCCTTACAAGGGTGTTATAGTGGGATTTAAGGCCGCGCAGAATCAGCCGGTACAGGTTTGAAGGGTTGTTGTCACAAAGTACGAACCCCTGTTTCGGGCGGAGCCCCAAACTACGACTCTACAGAGTCGACAATACTTACCAACAAAACTGAAGTCCTTTTCAGAATAGCAGCAGCAGCAACAGCAGCGAATCACCACCATCCGCAGACCAATCATCAGAAGCATATTTGTCATTCTTCAGTATCTTCCTAGAGTGAAGGGGGGGAGTGGGGCTAGACTCGAAGGTTAGAACAACCCCCAAAACATCCTAAAACCCCGAGTCATAGTTGGTTTCAGGATCAATCAGCTGTTGGGCTGCTATTGCGCCTAGGGCCTCGGCGCTCCAGCTTCGCCCCTTAATTTGGAACAGCAAGAGTATAAACCCCAAGTCCTTTAAGGGCTAAGGGACGGTTTAGGGTTTAGGGTTTAGGGTTTAGGGTTTAGGGTATTCTTGATGAGGGAAACACAGCAGGCACGCACAAAATTTCTCAGATTCAGCCCAACTGCGAGGGGCCTTGCACCCTTCAACCCCTACACCCTAAATCCTATGAACCCTAAACCCTATTAACCCTACTTGGGAGTAGACCCTGGAAAAACAAGTACTTTTACGGTATAAGGAGCTAAAATAGGAACCCAGAACCAACAAAAGTATAAAAGTATAGTACGCCAAAACCCAGATGACCCTCTAAAACCCCGTAGACCCTAAGCATCTCTTAACCCAAACCATATCCCCAAGTCGCTTTGGCAATAGACCCAGGGGTTGCAAAGGACCCAACACCATTAGGGTTTTAGGTTAGATTGGGGTCTGAGATTTTGGGGTGTTGGAGTTCAGGAGTCGTATAGGCTTGACGAGTCAGCTGGACCTATCTTCAAACGCCCTAAACCCTAAAAAACCCTAAGCCCTAAACCCTAAACCCTAAGCCCTAAACCCCAAAACCCTAAGCCCTAAGCCATGAGCCCATAAACTCAGAGACTCCCAGGCGCCGAACAGGTAAGGAAGGAAGGCGCAAAAGCCTGCCGCCTCGATGCTGAGCCCAGCTCCTGCGGAGTGTGGCGGCTTCGGACGGTTTGTGTCACTTCAGAGCCTTTAAAATTTAGGGTTTAGGGTTTAGGGTTTGGGGTTTCGGGTTTCGGGTTTCGGGCTGTATAGGGTGGGATGTTCCCCCTTATACTAACAGTCCTTAATAGGGATGATACTAGGAGGTACGAGTACTATAATCCCTGTTCAGGACTGTTAGTAGAAGGGGGAACATCCCAACCTTTCGTGTTCTACTCTCAACTTCGCACGTTGAGGCCACTTGTAGGCACTCTCTCAGCCGCACCCCCTCCTTTGCTGAAAAAGGTAGGCATCCAAGTCAGAAGCGAGTAGAATGCGACGTTGCCTGAGACTTGGCAAGCGGGCAACCTCCCTCCAAAAAACAAGCAAACGTTACACAAGTATGTTAGAGTTCAGGGTTGTCAACAACGACAACGACGACGACGAATAATAATAATAATAATAAATAATAATAACAATAATTAATACGAAAAACTAGGCTGCAGGGATAGAGGCATCTGTGGAACCGCAGAGGCCGAATCGCTTCAGGTTTTCGGGTGCGACTCTTTTACCCCGAAGCCGTGGTGCTCATGGCGTGGCACGCCACGACAGACCACCTGGGCACTGGCCGATGCAGGGCGAGGGGTGGCCATTCGAATGGAAGTGCGTGAGCTTGAATATACTCAACCCTGAATTCCATGCACTGCAAGTCCTAACACCCTAAAGCCCCATAAGCCCGAAACCTTGCTGTAAGATCTGTCCAACCCCTGGCCCTTCCTTTCATGTAGCCGCGTCGCACGCCCTTGTTGCGGAGGATCTCCTTCCATGGCACGGCGCCTGAGCATTGGGGTTCAGGGTTACATGAGTCCCTTACTTACCTCCAATTTGGGCTTCTACCCCATATATCCGCCGACCCGAGCAACAGCGGGGCGGCGTCAGTGAAGACCCTCCCTGCCCTCACCGCAACCTCTTCCCCCTTCCCCTTCCCAACCATTCCACTCCACCTCTCCACTTGGCCTTGCCTTCCGCCCTAACCTCCCCTTCCCCTGCCCCTCCCACTACCCTTCCCCTTCCCAACCATTCCACTCCATCCTCCTCCCCTACCCCTTCCCCCATTCCACTCCATCCTCCTCCCCTGCCCCTTCCCCATCCCTGCCCTCTCACCGTACCCCCAATCCACCCACCACCAACCCCTTGCCCGCCCCCTAACCCTCCCACCACCAACCCCCTTCCCCTGCCCCCCCCTCCCACTACCTTCCCCTTCCCAACCATTCCACTCCATCCTCCTCCCCTACCCCTTCCCCCCCCCATCCACCCCCCAACTCCCCAATCCCCCCCCCACCCCACCCTCCCCCCCACCCACCCACGCACCACCCCACCCCCCCAACCCCCCCCCCCGGCCATGGTCCCTGCCCTCACCGCAACCTCTTCCCCCTTCCCCTTCCCAACCACTTGGCCTTGCCTTCCGCCCCTAACCTCCACCCCCTTTAACCCTGCCCCGCTCCCTTGACCCCCCACCATGGACCCATGCCTCGCCATGGCCCCCAACATCTCTAAGCGGCCAACCCCCCACTTTGTGGCTCCTGGCCCCATGGCCCTATGGTCTTTTGGCCCTCTGCCTTAAGACCATGGACCCATGCCTCTATGGCCCCCTGGCTCCTGGCGCCATGGCCCTGGTCCCCTGGCCCTATGCCTCTAGACCCAATCAAAAATACCTCCATGGCTCCTGGCGCCATGGCCCCCAATGTCTCCATGCTTCGACGGCCAACCCCCAACTTTGTGGCTCCTGCCCCAGAGGGTGGCATGGTCCCTGGCCCTATGCCTCTAGACCCAAATGACGTGCGCCCGCCCGCTCTGCCCGCTCCGCTTGCTCCGCCCTTCCCCCGCTCCACCCGCCCTCCATGACCCTCGACCCGCATGGGTCCATGGCCCCATGGCTCCTGGCGCCATGGCCCCCAATGTGTCCATGCTTCCACGCCCCCTACTTTGTGGCTCCTGCCCCATGGTCCCCTGGCCCTATGCCTCTAGACCCAATCAAATGACTTTAAAGCCGCAGCGCATGCCGCCCGCTCCGCGCTCCGCGCCCTTCCCCCCCACCCTCCATGGCCCTCAACCCCCATAACCCCCATGGACCCATGCCTCCATGGCCCCAGTGCACGCTCCACTCCCTCCATGGCCCTCGACCTGGACCCATGCCTGCATGGCCCCAGACCTCCTGACGCATGGCCCATGCTTCGACGGCCAACCCCCTACTTTGTGGCTCCTGGCCCCATGGCCGCAGGGTCTTGTGGCCCTGCCTCTAGACCCAATCAAATGACTCCCAGTGCATGCCCCCCCGCTCCGCCCGCTCCGCCCTTCCCCCACTCCACCCGCCCTCCATGGCTTTCGACCCCCAATGGCCCCCATGGACCCATGCCTCCATGGCCCCATGGCTCCTAGCGCCATGGCCCCCAATGTCTCCATGCTTCGACCCCTACTGTGTGGCTCTTGGTTGGCCCCATGACCCCATGGTCCGCTGGCCCTATGCCCCTAGACCCAATCAAATGACTTTAAAGGGCCCCAGTGCATGCCCGTCCATGGCCCTCGACCCTCATGGCCCCCATGGACCCATGCCTCCATGGCCGCACAGCTCGGCGCCCAATGTCTCCATGCTTCCACGCCAACCCCCTACTTTGTGGCCCCATGGTCCCCTGGCCCTGGCCTCTAGACCCAATCATCCATGGCCCCCATGGCTCCTGGCGCCATGGCCCCATGGTCCCCTGGCCCTATGCCTCTAGACCCAATCAAATGACTTTAAAGGGCCCCAGTGCATGCCCGCCCGCTCCGCCCGCTCCGCTTGCTCCGCCCTTTGCCCGCTCCACCGACCCTCCATGACCCTCGACCTCCATGGCCCCCATGGACCCATGCCTCCATGGCCCCATGGGTCCTGGCGCCATGGCCCGTCTCCATGCTTTGACGGCCAACCCCCTACTTTGTGGCTCCTGGCCCCATCCCCTGGCCCTATGCCTCTAGACCCAATCAAATGACTTTAAAGGGCCCCAGTGCATGCCCCCCCGCTCCGCCCGCTCCGGTTGCTCCGCCCTTCCCCCGCTCCACCCGCCCTCCATGGCCCTCGACCCCTAGACCCCCCTGGCCCTATGCCTCTAGACCCAATCAAATGACTTTAAAGGGCCCCAGTGCATGCCCGCCCGCTCCGCCCGCTCCGCTTGCTCCGCCCTTCCCCCGCTCCACCCGCCCTCCATGGCCCTCGACCCCCATGGCCCCCATGGACCCATCCCTTCGACCTCCATGGCCCCCATGGATAGGGTTTAGGGTTTTCTTGGACGTTTAGGGTTTAGGGGTTTCGGCATTGAGGTTGTAGGGTTTTGGGTTTAGGGCCTTCAGCGTGCCATCAGCAAGACTCTCTTAGATCTGGGGTCGGCGGCACTGGCGGTAGCCATTAAATCGGGCAGCGCGAGGTCCCTAAAGGACCGAGCAAATGCGGACCTTTTAGCCCGGGTCGTCCCGGGAATAGCCTTGCTGGCCTCTGGCCTTCTGCGAAGCAGAATTAGGCCGGACGCCAGTGCCGCCGACCCCCGCGTGCCGCCGGTGAACGGTTTTTTTTTCGTGGTTTTTTGCGTCGCCACGGAGGCCCCCAGAGGGCGCGCATCATGAGCATCAGCGGGTCCAGCCCGGGACCCCCAGGCGCGCATCAGGAGCATCAGCGGCTCCCGGGGCGGGACCGCGGGGGGGCATCAGGAGCATGATGCCCCCCAAAGGGCGGGCATAAGCGACGTGTCTAAGCCCGGGGCTAGGAAAAAGGGAGTTTAGGGGCCTTATAAAGTGCTTAGAAACGTTAAGGGAGTCTCGGAGCCTCAAACGCTTAGAGATTTGAAGGGAGTTTAGGGGCCTGAAAATGCTTAGAAACTTAACGCTTAGAGATTTTAAGGGAGTTTAGGGGCCTCAACATGCTTAGAAGCTGCTCGCCCCGGGCTTCTGCGTGCGCTGCCCGCCCATGGGCGCAGCCCCTTAAAATATATATATATATATATATATTTTTTTTTCTATTTATTTATGTATTTCTTGATTTATGTGTTCATGTGTTTATTTAACTAGTGATGTATTTATTTATTATAAATAGATAGATAGATATATAAGTAGATAGATAGCCCATACTTTCGAATTTCAGGGTTTCGGGGCTGCAGGCCGGGTGAGGACCCTCGAGTCCAGGCAGTGGCATACGCAGTACTTCGCCAAGCCTTTGTTCACACGCAAAGCAAGTCTGGGACTTTTAGACATTCTAGCCAAGGGCCATCCCCAAGCCCTAAACCCTAGGACCATCCCTTCACCTCGAAGTAACCCCTAGAAATAGCACAGGCTTTATGCGCAGGGACCTGCAGTCAAAATATGAGCAAGAACATGCAAGCAGAAAACGAGCCGAAGGTAACCCCAATAACACGGCCTCCTCAATCCTGATCTTCACAGAACCAAGCGCGAAAGCCCCACACTCTGCAAATCCCGATGCCTCGACCCATGTACCTTCAAAGACCTTCCCCAACCAACTTTCCCAAACAGGATCCCACTGCAACCCGTAAAACTTTGGACACTCACCCCCGAACCCCCCCCCAAAAAAAAAAAAATGTAATAATAATACATAAACCCCCCCCCCACTCCCCTTCCCCCCTCCCCCGACCCCCCCCCCACCCCCTCCCACTCCCCCCCCCTCCCCCCCTCCCCCTCCCCCCGCACCCCCCCCCCCCCCCCCCCTCCCCCCCCCCAGCAGATATCGCTGAGATCAAATATTTTTTTTTTTTTCCCCCCCCTCCCCTCCCCCCCCCCTACCCCAGGGTTCAGCAGCTCCGGGTCGAGCAATCTCTAGTAGAGCCGCTGTTTGGGCTCTTGAAAAAAACCCACCCACCCAGAGAATCCCAAAACATTAAGAAATAAAAAGTTTACATTTTTCATCAGCAAGCCCTGTCCTCCAATCTCATTTGTTCTTTCTGCTCGTGTTCTTTGTCATTCTGCTTGGTTTCCATTCTGCTCGTGTGCGTTTCTTTCTGCTCGTATTCATTCTGCTCGTATTCGTTCTTTTTCTGATCTGCTCGTCTCGTGTTCGTTCTCGTTCTGCTCGTATTCATTCTGCTCGTATTCGTTCTCTCTCTGCTCGATTTCAGTCCGCTCGTTTTCGTTGTTTTTCTTCTCGTATTCATTCTGTTCGTATTCGTTCTCTCTCTCTGCTCGATTTCAGTCTGCTCGTCTTCGTTCTCTCTCTGCTCGTAATCATTCTGCTCGTATTCGTTCTCTTTCTGCTCATATTCATTTTGCTCGTGTTCGTTCTCTTTCTGCTCGTATTCGTGCTTTTTCTGCACGTATTCGTTCTCTCTCTGCTCGATTTCAGTCCGCTCGTTTTCGCTGTCTTTCTGCTCGTACTGAGTCTGCTCGTACTCATTCTCTTTCTGCTCGTATTCATTCTGCTCGTATTCGTTCTCTCTCTGCTCGACGTCAGTCTGCTCGTATTCGTTCTCTTTCTGCTCATATTCACTTTGCTCGTGTTCGTTTTCCCCGGTGACCCTGCCTATTTTTGGCCGTCTTGTTGGTTGTGTTTGGCACACTTTAAGCTGCCTGGCTTCCACATGGTTGCTTTACAATTAGTGCCCCGGTGACCTCGCCTCATGTTGGCTCCTGCTCGTAGGGTTTGATGAGAGGCCTAGAGGTTCGTCGTATGTCCCCTCTCTTCGTGCTCGTAGGGTTTGTCGTATGTCCCTCCCTTCATGCTCGTAGGGTTTGATGAGAGGTCTACAGGTTCGTCGTACGTCCCCTCCCTTCGTGCTCTTAGATTTTGTCGTATGTCGCCTCCCTTCGTGCTCGTCGGCTTTGTCGTATGTCCCTCTTTGTCTGCTTGCAGAGAATCCCAAGAATTAAGAAACTGAGGTTTTATTTTCAAAGGTTTGTCGTATGTCCCCTCCCTTCGTGCTCGTCGGCTTTGTCGTATGTCCCTTTTCTTCTGCTTGCAGAGAATCCCAAAACATTGAGAAATGTACGGGTTTATTTTAGAGGTCTGTCGTATGTCCCCTCCCTTCGTGCTCGTAGGGTTTGACGAGAGGTCTACAGGTTTGTCGTACGCCCTCTTCCTTCGTGCTCTTAGGGTTTGTCGTATGCCTCCCTTCGTGCTCGTAGGGTTTGTCGTATGTCCCCTCCCTTCGTGCTCGTATGGTTTGATGAAAGGTCTACAGATTCGTCGCATGTCCCTTCCCTTCGCGCTCTTAGGGTTTGTCGTATGTCCCCTCCCTTCGTGGCTTTCCCCAGACCGAAGGTAGAACCAAAAGTGTTGGTCCGGATTGACAAAAAAACTAATTTGTTAACCTCATGTTTTGTTTTCCCCCACCCCACCCTCGAACCATTCCAGTTCGAGCCAATCCCCAACCCACCCTAGAACCAACTACCCGTATTCGTTCTCTCTCTGCTCGTATCTCTCTGCTCGTCTTCGTTCTGCTTGCGTTCGTTCTCGGGGTGGGGGGGGGGTGGGGTGGGGGGGAAGCGGGGAAGCTGCCTGACTGGTTGCTTGCGAAGCCCTCATCCAGGTTTCCAACCCCAGAATGGGGGTCCGGAAGTTTCCCCACCCCACCCGCGAACCACTCAAGATGAGAAAGACTGAGAAGGGGCTACCGCGTTGCCCGGCCCGCAAAGGCTGCATCTTGTTCTGGCCCAGACCCAGGTTTTCAAGCCCAGAATGAGGGTCTGGGCCAGAAGAGGGAAGAGGGAGGGGGGGGGGGGGCAAAAAATAAAGAACACACACACACACACACCTTCATGCCCTCACCTCCCCACCCCTGGAAACACCTAAAGGCAAACAAGAAAGGACTGTCAACCAGCACAAGCTCACGCGCAGAGCCGGAAACGAAAAAACTACAATCTCAACCATCAGATAACCATCACTACGCCAACATCCCTCCAGTCAGCCTTCCGTTGTCTTGTCTTCGCTCTCCTGCTGGTCTGCACAGATGAAGGCCCACCAGCCGGTCCAAACGAGTCCTCGAAGGTTCTCAGCTAGGTTGCCCAGCAAGCTAGTAAGCAAGAGAAGCTATCCTTTTTGAATGCCGGCCATGCGTAAGGGAGCTTAACCCCCAATGAATGTGGAAGGGTAGAATAGCGAGGAGGAGACAGAGCTGGAGGGTGTGAGGGAGCCCCAGAACTCAACCCTGCGCGAGCTCTATCCACCACACACCATTTCCGCCCCCTTAGGCCCAAACTTTCTGAAAAGCCAAGCTCTGCAAACCCTCCACAAAGCTATCAGCCTCATCAGCCCTATAGCCCTAAACCCTATGTAGCCTACTCCAACGTGCTTCAAGACTCCCGCGCTGGCAAACGCCCAGAAAACGAATGGCCAACCAAAGTGCCTGCAGGCTGGTTTGGGTTGGATTCGGGGTGCTTAGGGGTTTCAGGGTTTCAGGGTTTTGGGGGGTTTAGGGTTTAGGGTTTAGGGCTTGAAGGGGGGTTTGGGGTCTTGGGCGTGCTTGGGGATTTCAGGGTTTTGGGCGGTTTCGGTGGGTTTAGACAAGTTCCTGCTATAGCTCCAAGAATTCGGGTCCGATACCCCTGAGCCTTCATCAGGCCTCCCTTGGAAGACTCAGCTGACTGTCATTCAGTGCACGATCATGCTCGAAGACTTCCAGCTCTGCTCTCTTGGCAGGGGCTCTGACTGATCAACCCTTGCAAAGCAAGAAAACCAAAATGCTAAAAGCAATCGAAAATCCTGGGCCTCAGAAAGATATCTAACTCATTGTGCGAGTTGCGATGACGATTTCAGGAGGTGGACATGGACAGGCGGCTTCAAAAGCTCTTCAAAAAAGAACTCCATATCGACCTCCAACCCCCCTGAAGCTGCCCCTAAACCCTGAAGCCAACCATTCCACCAAAGCCCTCCACCCTCCAATGCTACGCTTTGTGCTCTCCACGTGGCTGGATCAGGAAGGGGCATGCCAGCAAACCTAAGCCCACGCCTGGGGCCAGGCCCAATGGTTGTGCTTGGGGCGTAATATAGGGGCCTCGGGTTTTGGAGGGTTATTCTGGTATACTTACACAGGTAATTCTTCCGACCCCTATAGGAGGGTGTTTGGGCGTATTGCTTGGGCTTCGTTCCTGAGGCTTGCAAAACCCCCCCCCCCCCCCCCGTGGTTCATGGTGGGTTTTGGGTGCCCCCCCCCCCGGTTCATGGTCTCTGGCTCATGGGTTTAGGGTTTAGGGTTAGGCTGCAGAGTTCAGGACTTTCACTCTGACCCCCTTGGTCAATTGGTTCACGGTAGGTTTAGAGTTTAGGGTTCAAGGCTTGGGGTAATGGTAGGTTTATGGTTTCCCCTCTCCTCCCTGTGGTTCGTGCTGGGCTTCCGGGTCAGGGTTAAAGCGGTTCAGGTTTCGGGTTTACCCTTCTCCCCCCTGTGGTTCATTGGTGGGTTGAGGTTTTAGAGCTTAGGGTTCAGGGTTTGGGGTTTAGGTTGAGGGTTTCTCTCCTTCCCGGTGGTCCGTGGTGTTTTTGGGGTTGACAGGGGGGGCGGGGGGGGGGGGGGGGGGGTCGACTACGCGGAGACACGGGCGCATATATTGGGGGCTCCCCTGTCGTCGTGAACCCCCTTTTTGGGTAGGGGGTACGTAGCTTGGGCGAGGGTGGTTTGGAGACGGCAGTGCTCCGTGGGGTTGTCCAGCAGAAGCGCCCCGAAACCGGGCCTAAACCCTAAACCCGTCCCCTTGAACCCCAACTAACTCTCCAACCCCTACAAGCTCAGAGCCCTGTGCCTTGGCCTTGGACCACCCAAAACCTATAAGCCGTCCTGCATGCTTCTTAGCAAGATGCATTAGCAGCCCTTGATAGGGATTATAATCGGGGGTACGATAATCCCTATTAAGGATCGTTAGTAGAAGGTGGTACATCCCAATATATGGGGGCTTCCGACATTAGGGGTCGACATTGGGGGGTCCCTTGTTTTCGTAAGCCCCCCCCCCCATGTTGAATTCGTACTATAAGTCAGTAGAAAGGCAGAGTTCTAGTTTCAACTCAGCAGTCACCCCGCCTGTCGTGGATCCAGAATACACCTTAGCTTTCCACAGGGGCGAAAGGGGGCTTAACTTCCGGATCCTTGTCGGTCTTGAGCCCTGTAGCCCAGTACTACCTGGCCCACATAAAAAGGCTTAAATGCAGGGCCATGGACGCAGTACAGGATCCAATATCTACTCCTTCCTAGCCCCTCAGCTTGCAACCACCCGGCTCAAAGAAGTCAATACTTGCGCTCCCAAACACCGCAGGTTGTTAAAACCCTTCAACCCATACGTCCCACTCCTTTCCAATCCAAACAAGAGCACAATCTTAGAAGCCCCCTAAGCTCTGGGTCTTGAAACATGGCTAGGAACCAACGAATAACAAGAGGGGCCGCTCTTTGCTTAAAGGGATCAGGGATCCTAACCTTACCAAGAAGGATTAAGGGTACTGCTGGGCATCGTCAGAATAAACACACAAACGCACTCATAAAAAAAACGCCTCCCAGCCGCCACGCTGGTCCCGGAGGAGCGCCGGTCATTCGGGAGCTGACCGAGGGAAGCGCCAATGGCAGGGACGCCGAGGCCTTCACGGCTTTCGGGTTTTGGGGGGGGGGGCGGGGGGGTTCTGCTTGGATTACAGGACTCATATGTCATAGGGTCATAGGGGCAATTCTCTTGCAGGCTTGAGACTTTGCTTTTCGGAGTTGAGCGGATTGCGGGAGACACCAGCCAATGAGGTGGAGAGGGAGAGAGAGAGAGAGAGAGAGAGAGAGAGAGAGAGAGAAAGAGAGAGACAGAGAGAGAGAGGGAGAGAGATACAGAGAAAGACACAGAAGAACAAAAACAAAAACAACAGAATTGAAAGGTCGGCGATACTCCCACGGACTGTGCAGTAGCCGCTAATGAAGTACTACTGATGAATCAGCAAGTTAACAGGCGGAAGAAATTTGGAGCCAGAGCGAAATTTGAACAATTAATTAAGGAATGAACTAAATCACTGAAGGAGTCAATGAAATAGCGGCCGCGAAGTCAGTTTGTACTGAACCGGAGCTCAGGGTGTGAGTGAGGGAGGTGAGTGAGTGAACAAGTGAATACAGTATACAGCCAGCAGCTATGAACAAACATGGCACACCAATGTGTTCTGCATGTTCAGCTCTGTACAGGAAGTAGTTGGCAGTGCAGACCTTGAAGTGCTCTCTCGCCAACCCAAAACCCAAAACCCTAAATCTGAAACTGCTCACGGAATACACGGAGGAACTCAGACCTTCTCACACCTACCTAGGACTGCCCTGAAGCGGGACCTGTGCCCAAACTGTTTTCTGGGCATGTATTTACACCCGTTGTATGGTACAGGGCTGAATTTCATCCAGGTCAACCCAAACCCAAACTGCTGGACTGTGACCCTATACACCCCAAACGCGAAATCCATTAACACAAGCTGCAACCCTAAACCCTAAATCCCTCAAGCCGATTTCCCAACCAAGGAACTCGTCTCGAATGGGGGCTTACGAAACCGGGGAACCCTCATATAGATCCGCATAATCGTAGTATCCCGATAACATAAGGACCCCAATAAGGGTACCCCTAAATCCTAAAACCTAAACCCTAAACCCTAAGGGCCTTCCCCAAGGCCGACCAGGGCACGGGAGGCGCAAAGGACTGCCAAGGCCACCTGCCCAAGGAAGAACCGGTTTAGGGTTTAGGGTTTAGGGTTTACGGTTTAGGGATCCTTAAACCCCAAAAAAACCCTGCAAGCCCTGTGGCACCCTATAATATCCTGTAAGCCCATAAGCTCCTATAAGCCCTAGAAGACTCGATAAGACCCTACGAAGTAAACCCCATACAAACCCTATATAAACCCCATATACACCCTACACAAACTCTATAGAAACCCTACATATATATATATATACATACATATATTTATGAACCCTATATTAACCCCATAACAAAACTCTATGTCAACCCCTATATGAGCCCGATACAAACCCCACATAAACCCCGTATAAGCCCCAGCTGCTGATTTTCCGCGCCAGCCTGGGAGTCGGTGACGTATTCTAATGCCGCGGTGCCTCAGCTTCGTTAACCTATACTGGCTCTTCGTAGGCAACTGAGTACCTTCAACAGCCCTATGAAACCCCTTTAAAGGATTGAAACCCCTTTCAGGGATTATGTAAGGCATCTAATTCCCTCATTCCTACTCAGAGAAAGGCTTATAAAGGTTGCGGGTTGGGATTGAGGGAATAGTCTAGTTCACAATGGATGAGGGTGAAGGATTCAAAGGGCTTGGTTGGTTGGGATTCGAAGTCCTGAAGGCCCCGTGTGCATCTAAAACACCAAGACCTCACATGTCATGATGATGATGATGATGATGATGATGATGATGATGATCAAATCAAAACCAGCACCAAGGCCCAGATTCAAGCCGACACCACTTCTTAACAAGAGCTCTCGAAGATTTGGGGTCCATTCATACAGCCACCATGGTGCAGGTTGTGCCCACGCTCTGGATGAACACGCCGAGGCCCAGCACAGTGGCAGCTCCACCAGGTCTGGGATCCAGCTTCTACTGACGCAAGAACTATGGGGGCCTGAATCACTGGAACAGGGTTTTGGGGGCTATTACAGTATAGTTACACAGGGACCATAAGGGATTGCTATTAGTAATTCTTCCGACCCCCACAGTAGGGTTTAGGGAACAAGGTGCTGCGCCCAGGGCCTCGGGATTGAGCTTGGGATGCCTGGCTTCGTGCCTCGCCCTTGACTTGATAGCAGCCGACACATGCAGCATGCAAGCCCTTGCCTTGGGATTAGGGTTTTGGGGTTGATTAGGGTTTAGGGTTTAGGGTTTAGGGTTTAGGGTTTAGGGTTTAGGGTTTAGGGTTTAGGGTTTAGGGTTTAGGGTTTAGGGTTTAGGGTTTAGGGTTTAGGGTTTAGCTTCAAAGAGCTTCCTGAAAGCTGCTGACTGCTGAAGCCAGGGATTCAGAAGCAGCGTTCTTCTTCATGCTTGACTTGGGGTGCGGGCCAGAAGGCTGAGGGCGCACAACGGGTTTCTACCATTTTGCTGGATACTAGTTCGTCGCTCTGAATCTTGCTAGGTTCACAGGCCACATTCCATATTTGTTCCCTCCGACGGCCCCTCTCCTTACTCAAATGAGAGTCTCGCGAGGGTGCAGGGTCGAAGAGGTAGCGTGTGAATGAGCCGTCAGATTCGTTGAGGGCAGGCCGCAACAGACCCAGAAATACACGTCAATGGTTGCCAGCTAAGTCGCAGCTGCTGAATCAGCATTGCTCCGGGGAGCTGCGTCAGCATGTATCCTTTGCTCGTTGTTGCATGGATTGACTATCTCTAGCGTGGTACAGCAGCTGCACAAATCTAACTTCCATCCCCCGGCAATGTCCAAGCATGAAACAGTGCCATGTGTCTGGGTCACGGAAGAGCGGTAGCTGGCAACACTTGGGATCTAGGGCTCCGGCTGGGCAACAATGACAAGCACACAAGACAGAAAGAGAGCGAGAGAGAGAAGACCAATGTACATTATGCAGATATGGAATTCTTATACACTAGTCTCAGGGAGGTGTGTATGAGTTTAAAGTATTGGGTTGACTGTCTTGGAATGCTTTCCTAGACTTTGAACGCTTCGGACCCTCAACCCCTGACCTGAGTCACCTCCTAAACTCAAATCCCAAACTCTGAACTCCGTGCATTCCCCTACCCTGCACCACCCCACCTTCACCTGGTCTTTTTGCTGCGCGGGCTGCCCCAGAAGAAGGAGCTGGAAGCGGTACCCACATCAGCCTCGGCGTTGGGCCCTCAGGTAAAGGTTTCGGGTCTTGGGTTTGGAGCTTAATGTTGGACCTGCTTCCTCCCCCCCCCCCCCCCCCAAACAGTCGCGACCCTGAATAAAAAAAGACCCCAAACAGTCAGGCAGGGGAGGGGTCCGGAGCCCGGAGGCCTCCCTAAGCTACCCCCCGACGCTGGAAAGGTCGAGGCTTCAGGCTTCAAGTATCCCTTCTTCTCCAAAAACTTATGCCTTCCTGAAAACCGAAGGACTGAGCCCCGGGCCCCGGGAGACTTGCATTATAGCGGGCCCCCAAACAAAGGTATTAAAGTGTGTCCGGAGGCCTCCGTAAGGTACCCCCTTTCCGGATATGATTCGCCTATGGAATCATCTAGTTTTAAGTAAGGAATTTATAAAGAAAATGCGCCCTGAAAAAAGAAGATTGTCGGAGATCCTGGACAGGCCGAGGCTTCAGGCTTCAAGTATCCCTCCTTCTCGAGAAAGCTTATGCCTTCCTGAAAACCGAAGGACTGAGCCCCTGGCCCCGGGAGACTTGCATTATAGCGGGCCCCCAAACAAAGGTATTAACATGTGTCCGGAGGCCTCCGTAAGGTACCCCCTTTCCGGATATGATTCGCCTATGGAATCATCTAGTTTTAAGCAAGGAATTTATAAAGAAAAGGCGCCCTGAAAAAAGAAGATTGTCGGAGATCCTGGACAGGTCGAGGCTTCAGGCTTCAAGTATCTCTCCTTCTCGAAAAGCTTATGCCTTCCTGAAACCCTCAAAAAAACAGTCACGGCCCGAAAACTTTTCATTATAGCGGACCTCCAAAACAAAGGGTCCAGACCCACTTTTCATAATAGCGGCCCCCTAGAATATTGCGGGTGCAACATTACCGGCTTAGGTTTTGAGACCCTTTTAAAAGGCCTCCCACAAACACCCCTTGCAGGATGCCAGCAGGGTCCCACACGGCCCTGGAACAAGAACGTTTGTCATGACTGGGACAGCATCGGACAGACTTGACAGAAGCCAAAGCCCCAAGGGTCCATGCACCTATAGAGTATACAGTATACACATGGGCCTTAAAGCTACGTACTATATGACATTTGAGGCCCAAGCATATACTGTATCGGTACATGAGCACCTAGGGGAAGACGCACGATGCATGATGAAAATGAAGGGGTTCGTCAACGTGCGGGCGCCTCGGAAAGACCGAAGCGATCCTGAATCGGCAGGATGGCAACCGACAAGTTCACCTGCGTCTGGTTTGCAAGTAGGGTTTAGGGTTTAGGGTTGAGGGCTTAGAGGGTTTAGGGTTTAGGGCTTCAAAGGCTTGGGGCTTAGGGGTTAGAGTAGATTGCCTAGTAGCCAAAAACAAAACAAGGGAGGAGCCTAAAGTGGGGAGAGAGAGCAAAGCAAGGGAGGAGCCTAACTACTTACCAACTGACCTTTCTAGGGGAAAAGGTTCACATTGCTTTCTGAATGGCCTTGTAGTTCCCTCAAACCTGAACACCTAAGCCTAAGCCTGAACCCATGTTCAGGGCACTTCCATCGCTGCCGTGGCAGAAGACATGTCCAAGCTCAGCTGAAGGGGCCCCACCTCCCCCCCCCCCCCCCCCCACCCCCCTAATGCCCTGAACCATAAAATCCCTAAGCCCTATAAGTCCTATAAGCCCCTGAACCTTTGGCTTTGGCTTAGGCTTAGTTACCCCAGCGTCAGGCCCGGGAGCTCTCAGCACCATCCACCCGTCCTTAGCCCCGAGTCTGCATATTCTAAACCCCACACCCTAAAACCCCACACCCTAAAACCTAAACCCTAAACCCTGAGCCCTGACCGTAAACCCAACAACTGTTCACCTGAAATTGGCAAAGTGCCTTGTCCAAATCGCACAGCGCGTAGGCCAGGAAAAGTGCGAACCTTGCGCTTCGGAAGGCGTTCGGCTTCGGTGTTTGGGGACTTTGGAGGGTTTAGGGCTTAGGGTTTAGGATGTGGGGGCGTTTGGGATATGGGAATGTGGTGCTGGTTTGAGGGGGAGGCCCTGATGAAAGCCCCAAAAAGTCTCGCACTGGACCGCTGCCGCTTATCCGTTTTTCGGCTTTGCAAGCACCAAGAAAACACCCCCCCTTAAACCCTAAACCCTAAACCCTAAACCCTAAACACCCACATCTGCATGGAAGGGGGGGGGGGGGGGCGGGGCAAATTTGAAGGGGGGGGGGGGGGGGGGCAAATTTGTGCCGCGCGGCACGAGCAAGTTCCACTTGAACTCGTCCTTCTGGCCTCCGGTGGTGAACAAAACCCGAAGTCTGCCACCACCGGGCTTGGGCTGTGCACATAGATCAGCGGCTCAGGGTTTAGGGTTTAGGGTGTAGAGCTTAGGCTTTAGGGTGTAGAGTTTAGGGTGTAGGGTGTAGGGTGTAGGGTTTAGGGTTTAGGGTTTAGGGTTTAGGGTACCCTCATCAACCAACTGGCAGCCGGGGACCTTCGTCATGAAATCCTAGTGTCGTGGATGCAGGAGCTTGCACCTCTCTCCTGCGTCCGGCGATGCTTTAGAAACCCCTTCTTGAAAATAGTGGAGCTGCTTGGTCGCAACTAGACTAGACTTGAAAAAAAGAAAACAAACAAATCGACCTATTCCCAAGTTAACAGTTCGGACATATTCTCCTCAAGCGGTCGAGTCGCCACTTGGCAATCTGGGATGCCCTTTCTGGTACAGGCAGTGAAGATCAAGGTTCAGGGCTCGGGGTGCAGCGTGTAACTCGGCCACCTGCAACCTGTAACTGTAACCACCCTGGAGCACTGCTTAAGTCTCAAAGGCCCAAGTCTTGGAGCCTACATGGGCATTTGCCAAGATAGGGGTACCCCTTATAACCCCCAAATACTATTACCCTTGTTATAGGACTCCCCAACAAGGGTGCCCCTATTTTCGGAAACCCCCACATGTCCCCGGTCCTTTCGAAAGATGTTTCCTCCTCTCTCACCAGGACGTCAGTACCAGCCGCGCTGCGAGCCACGCCTGGCTTGGGGCCGTATCATGGGTTGCTGGTTCAACTGCTTAGAATTCCGGGCGGCGGATATGAGGCTTGGCCTTCTTTTGGCCACGACTGGCTACACCGTCGAACAAAAATGATCTGAATGTTGCGGTGAAGCTGGAAGGTATAGAGCAAAACGGCAAACAACGAAGCAACGAGCTGAGCCACCTAGCCGTCCATTCGATCGGCCCCTCGTTGCAGCAGTACTCGGTCGAGGCTTTCATCTTCATCCCTACTAGGGCTTCATAACATGGGTGTTCTTTCTCCTCAGATTGCATCCGAACCGGGATTTAATGTAGGCTTTCTGGAAGGATCTGACGTACAGTCTAGCAGCTTACCGCGAAAGCCATGTGCAGATGCTTCTCTCGAGTCCTAGGCTGGGAGATTGCAGGAATCCGGCAGAAGTTCCGGTTGGATGGCATAGTCCGGCAGAGTATGCCCCCTAAACCTGCAACTTCGGAAGCACGACTCTGAATAAGTCCTGGAGAACACAGTCTACCCTTTCAGAACGCTCCTCTGACGGCTTCGGCCTGAATGAAGGCACCCGGCTGCAGGGCCGGTAAGAGGCGAAGAGAAGCCTTCTGAGCTTACGCCCTACACCCCAAAACATCAACTGTGTCTTTAAAAAGTATATATATATGTGTGCATATATATATATATATAGAACTCAAACCCAGACTATCAAGCCTAGCGTGTAAATCTTAAGCACCGAAGCCCCAAACGGACGTTCCAAAGGATGATTCTAAGCCCTAAGCTACTCTTTGCTAAAGAACCCCACAAGAATAAAGCAATAATGATTCCTATATTACCCTTAGTAAGGAATAGTATTAAAATAATAAGCCCTGTACTACCCTTAGTAAGGAGTATTTGTTTTTGTTTGTTCGGGGTTCTTAAGCCATTAGTAGTAGGGAGTGATCCGGGCCCCCTCTCTCCCCTCCCTCCCCATTGAAATCCAACTGAGTGAGTTAGTTGCTGAGTTCATAGGCCCCAAAAAAATGTACACTTTCAGTTCTATAGAGGATCATGGTCTCACAAAACCTCACTCAGCTACTCTGGTGAAAGGCGCCTTGGTCTGTATGTAGGGTCTATAGGGCCTTTAGGTTTCAGGGTGGCAGTTTTGGGATGTTCCCCCTTCTACTAGTCCTTCGACAGTTAGTATAAGGGGGAACATCCCAATGGCAGTTTAACATCCGGGAGGAGTTTGGTTTTTGGGTCTTCGGGCTGCGGCTCGGGGTGTTCAGGTAGATTTAGTTATTGGGGAGGTCGTACTCACGAATGTTTCTAAGGGAGCCGAACTATAGGCATAAGGATACCCGAGTCCTAGTAGTCCATCTGTGATTATGGCTAACCACCCCCCCCCCCCCCCCCCCCCGCCCTGTATCCTCTGTCCCGAAACTTCAAATCACAATGGAGACCCTTCGGCCTTGACTTGAGGGCTGGTTCATCACTTAAAACCTCTAAAGTCCGAACAGCCCTAGGCCCCAACCCCAAAACCCTCAAACCTGAACCCCAAAAGTCCACAAAGTCAAAACAAGACCTAAACCGCAAAACACCTTTCAACCACCAGCCTCCAGCACGGACTGCCGAGACCCAGGCATCCTGCCGATGGGTTTTAGCGGGTCCATGGGGCTTCTACATGGGGTTTAGGGTTTAGGGTTTGGGATTTAGGGTTTAGGGTTTAGGGAGGGCTTTACGGGTTGTAATCGGGTTTATGCGGCTTATGTTGGGGCCCTACACGGGGGCTAAGAAACGAGGTTGTAAACCTAGGCCGGCTGTTTGCGCCCAGCCCAAGAAAAGGAAGACACGGAGTATCCCCCGGGCCTGGCCTCGTTTAGGGTTCGAGTCGATTAATTAGGAAGCCGGAGACCTAAAAAGGGCAAACTACAACTACAACCAGGCTCAGGGGCTTCCGAGGTTAGGGCTTAGGATTTGGGATTGAAGAGGGTGTTAAAGGGCTTAAGGGGTTTTAAGGGTTTAAACGGCCAAAAAGGATGTCAGGGTTTAGGTCTCAACCCCCCCCAAACAGTAGGTCCTTGAAGTCACAAGGACTTCACATTTGGCACCCCGAATTTCGGAAACCCCCACAACTGAACACCTTAAATCCACAGTTGGTGTCCACACAGGCCTCGGACCCCCGTGTCGCACCCAGGCCCCATGATTGTGCCCAGCCGCCCTCGATAAGAAGAGAGACCGCCCCAAAGCCAAACACCTTGCATCTGCACACCCTAGCAACCTAAACCCGGAAACGCTAGACTAAACTCTTACTTGCAACCCCGAACCCAGAAGCCCCGAACCCAGAAACCTACGCATCGGGGCCTATACTGGATGATTATAGAGGATCCGTGTTAGGGCTTAGGTTTACTGAGCCCCAAAGTTCGGGGTTCAGGCAGACCCAAAAACACCTAAAAGCAGGAAGCCCCCTTGCAGCACATGAGACAACGCCCGGAAACATCCGGAAACCCCAAACACCAAACCCTTAACTCCTCAGGACCCCCAGACTCCGAACCTTCAGACCCGAAACCCTCAAGCCTCAAGCCCGGAAACTCTCCAACTCCGTGCCCTTCAAAACCCCTAAACCCTCAAAAACCTGGAGCCCTCAAACTTGGGATGCTCCCCCTTATACTAACAGTCCTTAATGGGGATTAAAAGAATAGGGATACTGTAATCCCTATTCAGGACTGGGAAACATCCCAACATCAAACCCCTAAACTCTATGTCCTAAACCCTAAACCTCAAACCCTTCAACTCTAGGACCCGAATCATTACGGTCGTCTGGAAGGCCTGGGCCAAGCAGGCCGTCCCAAGGAAAAGCACAAGAGCCAGCGCGTAGCCTGAGAGCCTCGGCTTCTCATGGGAGTTTCGGGTTTAGGGTTTAGGGCTTAGGGTTTGGGGTTTGGGGTTTAGGGTTTACGAAGATAAGGGACCCCCTAATATAGCCCAACTAGCAGGATCCACTTACAATAAGGACCCCAATAAGGTACCCCTAATTTCGGAAACCCCATATTCTGGCAGTGTCTTCTTGGGGGGGCGGGGTCTGAGGGCTGAGGGTTCAGTGGGATCTTCGGGGTTTAGGGCATCAGGGGCATGAACAGATAACATGCACATATGTAACATAATAACATATAACATATGTACATATATAGATAAATACATACATACATATAGACATGTATGAGCGACTGCCAAAATCGGCTGGCAGTACTAATGGACGCAACAAGAGGGTGTCTTACTTTTCAAGTGTTCCCATCGCTTTACAGGGTTTTAGCATCAGCTATCCACGCTTGATGTCTGCAGGAGTCGCTTTGGGAAAAATCAAGGATATAGCCCACCCAACGGCTCACTAACTCAGGGGTGTCGCCTCTCAGGTGTGCCCATCGCTTTACAGGGTTTTGAGTATTCGTGTCCACCCCTTACTTACTTGAATGGCTGGGGCTTTTGGCGCTTGCTCATATACATATATACACAGTATTTGTAAAGATAGGTTAGGGTTCCAACGCCAGGTTTAAGGCTTAGGGCTTGGGTACAGGGAAGTAGGGCAACACTAGGAGATTTCGGAAAGAATCCAAGAACTTGTACCAGTTTGGACCCCTTGGTAGAACCAGGACCGTATAAACCCTAAACCCTGAACCCTAAACCCTAAACCCCTAAAACCTTCGAAGGCAAGACTCCTTCACCACGACAAGCACATGGGACTTTAAGAGACAGTGCGCCTAAGGTCGTGTGCTGTTTCAAGCCTCACGGTTCAGAGCTTAGGGTTTTAAGGTTTTAGGGTTCACAGGGTACAGGTTTCTTAGGGTTTAGGGTTCAGGGTTTAGGGCTTAGAATGAATGAGTGCTGTGGGGCGTTTATGGGCCTGAAAAGGCCAGAGGCTTTAGTGGGCTTATCAGGATTGTAGGGCTTGTAGGATTTCTAGAGCTCGTAGATTTATTTCTGGGGCATATGGTTGAGGGGGTTAAGGGAGCACCCTCAACTGCTCAAAAACTCTCGGCCGCAAAGCGATCTCCTCCTCCACATCGCCCGGGCCGCACGGCCGCTCATCACGGAGCTGACGGAGCTCAGCATCTCGTGCTTTCGCACGTCGGCTGTGTAGGTGGGGTAGAGGACACTATAGACCCTACAGCCCCCTGGACATAAACTCGCAAGCACTAATCCAATGTGTGAAGCTAGCTGGCTCCTTGGCCCATAAGCCTTGCGTCTTCTAGGACGGGTTCTAGGGGCCCGCAGGTGCATAGAAGAGCAAGTTGCGCCTTGCACTCCGCAAGATTCGGCTACTGAAGGGCTTCTAGGGCTGATGTAGATTCTGGGGGTTAGAGTTTAGAGGTTCGGTTTAGCTGCCATCTGCTGCAATGATGCAAAGCTACCAGATCTGCGCTCCCACAGCCTCTTGAGCCAGAAGAGCTAACACCCAATGTGCTATCATGCCGTCGACGGCTTAGAGGGTCTAGGGCTTAGGAGGTTTAGGGTTTAAGAATGTAAGTCAGTAGGGGTTGCTGTTCGTTCCTGAGATTGGAATTCAAGCGAAGTCGTCGTGTGGGCAAACAGAGCCATGTCAGTGATTTATCGAGCCCCTCTTGGGCTGGCTACGGAACTATGACCAGCTGGTATTGCCGCTGAGCTCCACAGAACTTCGATGATTAAACAGCTATAGCAATTGATGGTGAAGGCGATATCAAGGCAACATGACACTATGTCGAGGCACCTTCTCCGCAAACTCCACATCGCTAGTTCATGAATGCATGCTTCCCAACCCAAATTCAGTTGCTTGATTCTTCAAGCCGGCGGAGATGAAGGCCCCGACATGTTGGGAAGTAGGGTTGAGGAATTTAAGGTCTAAGGTGTCCCACAAGTGGGTGGTTGTCAACATCATGATCCTTTTCGGGCACCCTTAATATTAGGTGCCGTCTTATATTAGGGACCCCAAAAGGAACCATAATTTAACCCTACACCCTACACCCTAAACCCTAAACGACAACCACCCAAGTGAATGCGCAATAAGTCCAGCATGTCCCCTGTGCAGGAGGGCCACCTGCAATGCGGAGGCTTCCGCATCCGAGAGGAGCGGCCACACCCGAGGCAGTCTGCGTTCGGATCAGGTTTAGGGTTTGGGGTTTGGGGTTTGGGGTTTAGGGTTTAGGGTTTGGGGTTTAGGCTCCTTTATTTGTGGGCTCGTTTGCCATCAGGGCTTCCCTGCGTTTCTTTGCTGGAGTTGCCTTGGAAGGGAGGTCTGATTGAGAATAGCCCCCAGAAGTCCGGCAGGAGATCGACGAGCAGGCTAAGGCCCTAGAATCCTCAACCCTAAACCCCTGACCCCCCCCCCCCCAAAAAAAATAAAAAAAACAAGAAGAAGAAGAACAACAAACAAACAAGCAAACAAACAAGAGGAGGAACGTTAAAACAAACATGAAGCAAAAGTAAAGCCCAATCTTCACGCCAAGATCTCGAGGCGGGTCGAGGCCTGAGGACATGGGAGCTCTCTGAGTCTTTGAGGAACTAAACCCTGAACTTCAGCCTCAAACCCTAAACCCTTGCTGTTTGGGGCTCTTAGAGCTTTGGGGGGTTGGCAGGCTTTTTTTAGAGGGCTCAGGGCTTCAGGGTCTTGGGGTTTAGGACTTCGGTTTCATTAGGGTGAAAATGGGGTAACACAACCCTTCAAGGAATTGAGGGTACCACTAGGGCTCCAGGGTTCTCTTGTTTAGGTTACGGTTTCTCGGCAGCGTGGAATGCAATTCTGCCTGACTTGTGTGAAAAGGTCTTGGGGCTTGGGATTCAGACGTGCACGCTCGAGGGTGTCTTCAGGGTTTGTGGGAGGGTGCTGGTGGCATCCGCAGAAAGGAGCACGAAGCGGTAGAGTGCTACAGAGCCTACGTTGAAATCCCAAGCTGGGGTTTAGGGTTTAGGGTTTAGGGTTTAGGGTTTAGGGTTTAGGGTTTAGGGTTTAGGGTTTAGGGTTTAGGGTTTAGGGTTTAGGGTTTAGGGGCCCCTCCTCCAGGAGAGGATGGTCGCAGCCAGCTGGCGACTGCCGATGGTTGGTGCGTGATGACAGCCTGAGACTGTGCCAAGTTCAGGCACTTAGGGTTTGGGAGGCTTCGGATGCAAATCGTCTTAAGAGGGTTTAGGGTTTAGGGTCTAGGGTTTGATTTCAGTCATTCTCGAAACCTTGGCGGGATACCGCTGGCCGTTTCCCTGCCACCTGGCCAAACAAACCAGCTGCTTAAGAAAACCAAGACCCTGACATGTAAACCCGAAACCCTAAACTTTGCCTTAAAGCATAATCCATATATCTAAATGGATCAAGGGCCCAAAAACCCTAAACCCTAAACCCTAAACCCCTAAAAGCGCCCAAAAACCCACAAGTAGTCCTGCATTGGACTCAGGCCCCCCGCGCGTCATCAGCACTCTTAGGAAGCTCGGATTCTGACACCAGGCCTGCGTCTTCTGGGTTGGGGTTTTAGGGTTTAGGGTTTAGGGTTTAGGGTTTTGGGTTCAGGATGGTTCAGGCTCAGGGCGTTTGGAGCTTTAAGATTCCGGGTTTTAGGGTCTTGGCTTCTGAAGGGTTTAGGGTTAAGTTTGGGGTTACCTGTCAGGTGGGGGCCCACCACACGCCAACGACTACTTATAATCCCTAAACCCTAAACCCTAAACCCCAAACCCTAGGCCCTAGGCCCTAAACCCTAAACCCTAAACCCTAAACCCGAAACCCTAAACCCTAAACCCTAAACCCTAAACCCTGTTCGTTCTCGCCCGATCGGACATAGGATGTAGCTTTGCGAGTGGATTTTCCGGGGTCTTGCTGCTGTGCCATTCAGACTTTATCCGAAGTTGTCGTGCTTGGGAAAAGTCCTAGGGTTGACAGTGGGCTCTGTGTGTGTGCGTGGGTGTGGGTGTTTCATCCGTTTCTGGGTTTCCGAGTTCACCCAAACCTTTGGTTAGGGAGTAGTCGCTGGAGAGTTAGGGTGTGCCCTAAACCCTAAACCCTAAACCCTAAACCCTAAACCCTAAACCCTAAACCCTAAACCCTAAACCCTAAACCCTAAACCCTAAACCCTAAACCCTAAACCCTAACCCTAAACCCTAAACCCTAAACCCTAAAGGCCTCAACCCTAAACCCTGAGTGGCCCATAAGACGACTCTGGACATGCAGCCGGCCTCCAGCTGAGCCTCGGCCTGACTGCGGCCAGCATTGCTCGTCGACCTCCCGGGGAGGCTCCAACTCCAACACGTCCGGTTTGGGGTTTAGGGTTTGGGGTCCAGGGTTTAGGGTTTGGGGTTTAGGGCTAGGGTTTAGGGTTTAGGGCTTCGGAACTTCGGACTTAGGGTTTTGGGGGCCTTCAGGGTAAAAGGGTTTGTAGGGGGTTAGAATGGTTTAGGGTGTTAGGTCTTTTGGGCTCCATTGTAGGGCTTGGGGCGAAAACTCCTAAAACCCATAAACCCCAAACACCCAAACCACAACCCCACAATACCCGCCCAAGCCTCACCCTAAACCCTAAACCCTCAACCCCCAACCCTCAACCCTAAACCCTACAGGCCCCTTTAAAGCCACCAAACCGCCCGAGGGCTGGGCTGGAGCAGCTGCAGGAGCTGGTCAACCTGGCCAAGGCTTACTAGGCGGTTTAAGGTTTAGGGTTTAGGGTTTTTGGGTTTTAGGGTTTTAGGGAACAGATTCGGGAGTTTACGAAAACAAGGGGCCCCAAATATAACCCCCCCAAAATAGTAGGATTCCCTTAACATAAGGGTCCCAATAAGGTGCCCCTAATTTTGGAAATCCACATTTGGGTAGGGGAAAGCTCAGGAGGGATACTACCCACTAGCCCTTAAGGCCCTTAAGCCCGTAGTGCTTCGAAACATCCCATAAGCTCTTCACAACAAGTCCGAATCAACGACTCAGGTCACAAAAAAACTCAGAACAAACAGGGCCAAACCCGAAGACCCGAAAACCGAAACCCGCAGAACCAAAACACTGGCCCTAATGTTGAGCTCGATTTAACACCTCCCCCGAGACTGTTCGGGCGCTGGGTCTGAACAAACAACTTGCCGGACACGGGTCACAATAACGAAGGTTGGGGGTGGGGTGGGCCGGGCCGCTTCTAGGGCTTCTTCTGAGCATCTTCTTCTGTGCCGGGCTTGTTCGTTTCCGGGTTTCAACCCTAAACCCTAGACCCGCTCTGTCTGGAGCTTGGCCTGGATTGCTTAGGGGCGGAATTACAGAAGCCTTATGATTCAAGAAGAGGGGAGGGAGAGAGAGAGAGAGAGATGAAAAAAACATAAAAAATGAGAGAGGGAGAGAGAAAGAGACCCCAGGCTGGACTCTTTCTATATGTATATATATATATGTATATAGAGCACCCTCTTGGGATGTTCCCCCTTATAGTAACGGTTCCTAATAGGGCTTGCAGTACCCCCTAATTCACTCCCTCTTAAGAACTGTTAGGAACTGTTAGTATAAGGGTATAAGGGGGAACATCCCAAGTTGCACCCTCTACTGTTGCCTCATTGTCAGGCTCTAGACAACCTAACCTCATGGAAACTGCTCATGAAACAAGCTTGTTGGCCCAAATCCGGTACTAGCACCCCTGTAGAAAATGAGCTCAACCTAAACCCTAAACCCGAAACATCAAACCCTACCCCATCCCCCCTCCCCCCCCCCCCCCCCCCCCCCCCCCCCCCCCGGTTTCCCACTCTGGTGGAGGCCTCGGCCTCCGGCCCCGAGGTCATGGCATGCTTTCTTGCTGCTTCTTTGTGGGGGGAGGGGGGGGGGAGGGGGAGGGGCTAGGGGATGAGCTAGGGGCTTTGAGGGCTTAGGGCTCAGGGCCTAGTTCAGGGTAGCGGTTGTGGTTGCTTTTTCTTTTGGGCTCAGGTGGGCATGGTGGAGGTCTTGGGGATGCACATGCTCTGTTGTGATGCGCCCAGGGCACAGGGTTCTAGTCTGCAGGGCTATCGGTGACATCAGTTGGATGTTTTTGGCTGGTTCCGGCCAAGCAATGCTGGGAGTACATGAAGTCCCAGTCTCCTGTTCGTGTGTTTGGTATGAGTTCAGGTTTGGGGACGCCTTGGGATTGCGGCTAAAGAAGGCACACGGCTTGCTGCGCGTTTAAGCCTGGAAGTTCGGACAACCGAGTTTAGCTAGGCAGGTTGCCCATGCCCCCTTCTACCCACAGCTCGCCACAGCCATGGTGCCCGGATTGAGATCCTCCCGTGAGCTCAGAGACGCATGGATTGTTGAAGGAGCCATCATTTTTGCACAGCGCTGCCGCAGAGCTGCCGAAATGCCTAGCCGTGCGTGTGTTTGTACACGGGCTTTTAAAACAGAGATGTGCTTTGAGGCGCACGATGGAATGAACACCAGCATCAAAAACATGCCGGGCATCGTGACAGGGAGAGCACCCCCCAACATTTTGCACAAGTCACCACAACGGACTATAGACTATGATGGACAAAACAGTTGCTACAGCCCAAGGCTTTCCGTCGCTTCCCGGCCAACGACTACGGCCTCACAGCTGCTCATGCGATCAAGTGCGCGGGACAAACTATGGAAGAACCCCTGTGCAACTGCAAGCTTCAGAGCTGTCAGGAGCTCTTAGAAGTTCCAGGTCTCCTTGCACACATTTGTCCACCACCAGAGAGTCAGGATATCGACCTTCAAGGTGAAGCCTCCCGTGCCACGAGCTTCTTGCATCTTCCCCATGCAGATATCTTTCCCAGACTTTTTGCAATAGCTCTTGAAGATGCCATGGCCAAACCAGCGACTGTAAACCGAGGCGCAGAAGTCCTGATGCTTCTGCTGGACACTGGGACTTTCACAGTGCTTGTGCACGGGCTCCGTCAACTCGTGCACAGGGGCATGGACCGAACCCGAGACGCGCACGAAAACCAAGTTGATTGAAATCGCCGCCGGGATCAGCTTACCGATGTAAGGGTGGTAGTGGGCAGAGAGGGATGGGATGCAGCCCGCCCCGAACCAGTCCGCGAACTTCCTCATATCGCCGCCAAAGCAAATTGCAAAGGTCAAGCTGAACTTGAAGTTCACCAGAAAGTCTGCTGCGTTGCTACAGTCGGACGAGGTCCAACCGAAGCTCAGCGTGGCCGTAAACTTCACTGGCTCAACTGGCGGGGAAATGGCCATGCATCCGGTGCAGCCCCCTTGGAGACACGCAGGCATCCACGATTTGGAGAACAGATGCCTGTGGCAAACATCGGGAAAACCAAACACAAAAACTAGCCACGTGGCAAAAGGATCCTTGGTTCTACAAAGAAATGGTCACATGATGCTTAACCGTTGAAGCTGTCCTTCTTGTCATACCCCGGGAAAGGGATACAGATGCCCGAAACACACGCTGAGCAGGAAACAGCCTTCTTGCAAGGCCCAAAGGCAACCCGGCTTGCGTTGGAGCGAACCACCTCTCCCGCAAGAGCAGTCTGGACATCTTCGAGAGGATCTGACATCGCTTGAGCAGCCATCACCTTCATGTCAGACGCTTTTCTGGCGTCGGCAAGCCCGTCAGCTAACTTCTTGGCGACTTTGTGCAGGGCCTCGTCGTGCTTGGCTCGGCACACCAGGGACGGCTCATTGCGAAGACACTCGCAGTTCACATACTCCTGGAAAGCTGGATCGTTCAGGGGCGAATCTGCTGGTATCTCTTGCTGCCGCTTGGCATGATTTGAGCACGTGGACTTCTTGCTCTCCCCAAACATGACTTCATGGTGTTTCTCATCCAACTTGTGCAGGTGTTCTCGCTGCTTGTCTGTGAGCTCCGACCGAGCTGCTTGATGCAACATCTCGTGCACCGCAGTCTTCAAGTGGGGATCTTTGTCGAGTGGAGCTCCCTCTGCCGCCGCTTTGCGCGACCTGTCCTGGTGTTTCAGGTGAGCCACGAAGTGATGCGCCAGGCCATTGGATTCGTTGTGCAAGATCAAAGCAGCTTTGGCGTGGTATTCCAACTTGTGAGCCATCTTGTGTATGGGCGCAGCCAAGGCTTGGATCAAGAATGAACTGTTCAGGTGCAGGTGCTCATCAGCGACCATCTTGTCAACAAAGAAGTCCAGATTCATGGTGTCCTCGCTACACGTCGACTCCAAATAGTCCACCACGCTGATGGCTTGCTCCGATTCAAACTTTGTCATGTTGCCCCTGGTCGCAGCGGTCCCCAATATGGCCGACTCAGCATTGGCCACCTCCCCCGCTTCAGCTGCATCCCCGCAGGCCTTGCTTGCGGGCTTAGACAATTTAGAAACCTCCTTTCATTGCTAACATTACACTCATTACACGCAAAAAAAACTTTGGCCCAAAGACGACACCCCCCCCCCCCCCCAAAAAAAAAAAAAAAAAAAAAAAACAAAAACAAAAACAAATCTCCACCATGCTGCAACGCCCATGGTGCTGATGGCCTCGTGGTACAGCAGCACTGCGGACTCATCAATCTTCACGCCGCTGAAGACTTTGTCGGTCGCCTTTTCGAAGGTGTCCAGCACTATGGCCTCGGCAGCCTCCTTGCCTGCCTGCTCCTCGGCATCAAGCTGCTGTTGATCCAGTGGAAGTCCTGGCACAAAGAAGTAAAGGAACCGCCGAAACCGAAGCCAAACAAGGTAAAGAAAAGTAAACAGCCCAGCTTTTGGCAAAGCCAATGTCCTGGAAGATCCTTCATCTGGAGGAAGGCTTCGGCAGTGGCAATCGTCTCAAGATACTTGGCCGTGTCTGCATTGCCAGCTTGACTGGCTTGTTTTGCCTGCTGTTCGAGAGCCATCGTTAGCTGCGCAGCCTCTTGCATCCGCTTGTGAATGAGATTGGCCTTTGTTTCATTAGAAACCTCCTGGGTGGTAGCAATGTTGCAAGCCGACTGGCATGTTTGCTCCAAGGTCTCTGAGTTGTGCGCAGCGCCCAAGGGGTGGTCAGTGTTGGGACATTTCTTGTTCCATGGCGTTGTGCAACCCCACAAGATCACCAGCTCCTTGCACCACTCGTTGTCCACAGGTCGGCTACACACACTGGCCCCCTGCGCAGTTAGATCCTGCAGCGAAGCGAACTTGTGGCCCTCCACCATGAACAGGAGGCTCGACAGGACGATGGCAAAGGATGCCATTGTCTTATTGCTTCAGTGTAATCGGAAAGTTTGAGTCACGTAAAGGCTCTCTGCATGCGTCACTTCAAATCGGATTTGCGTGCTACACATGCACACACATGCGTACAACCAAAAACCACCAAGCCAGCATTCTCCGATCCGGGGTAGCTCCACAATAGACCCCCCACCACCCTTTCTGGCCTTATGGATGCCTTGCAAAAAGCTTCATCTAAAGCGGTTCCCCCAAAAGAGACCCGATTAAAGAGCCCTTTCGCGCTTTTGGGACTCGGTGAAGCGATGGATATCGGCCAAGAGTGAGCGCATCACGACTGGCCAAACGTCGACCTCACAAACAGGGCGGGCACCCACCTTCCCCCCCCCCCCCCCCCCCCCCCCCCCCCCCCCCCCCCCCCCCCCCCCCCCCCCCCCGCCCCGTCCCCTCCCCCCGCCCACCCCAGCCCCCTGGAAACCCCAAGCCATGAAAATCTCAACCCCCAAATCAGCCTTTAACTCTAAACCCTAATTAGCCCTTAACCACACCGCTGTCTCAGGGCGCCACATGAGCTGCAGGCTCTCTTGCCAGCCGTGCATGTTCCTCGGCTCTTGGGTTGAGAGGGTTTTAGGGTTCCCTAAACCCTAAACCCTAAACCCTAAACCCTAAACCCTAAACCCTAAACCCCAGACCCTATAGGGTTAACAGCGGCAGGAGGGGCCGAATTTCTTAACGATTCTATGGCGCGATCGTTTTGCAGCCGAGGGGCTTTGCGGCATTGAGGGTTTCAGCAGTTAGGGCTTAGGATTTGGGACCCTAAACCTTAAGCCCTAAACCCCAAACCCTAAGCCTTTCTTGGAAGCATGAGGATCGCCAGGTTAGGCGCGCAAGTCTGCTGGATTTGCATTGTTTTGGCAGAGACTGCTTGCACCAGCTTCTTCTGTGTAGTAACAGGCATAACCTTTGACAGACCAGGGAATGCAGTTCTTTCTTGTCCGCCAAAACAAGGAAGCCCATGAAACTCACACCCTCAACCCGCGCCTAAACCATCAGTTGGGGGCTCAGTATAGGAACTACCTTCTCGAGGCTTGCGCGCAGCAATGTCTAAAGAGTATCCAAGGCTCATCCACGCCCGCAGCAGCAACCTCCAGGGAGTCACAATAACCATCTTTTGGTGACAATTTCGCGGCGTGAAACGATCCTGGTTCAACTGGGCACGTCATTGCTCGAAACCATGTTGTCGTGACAATTTGGCTGCGTGAAACGCTTTTCCTTAAACTGTGCACGTCATTGCTCTTCACACTAACCATGGCTTTTCGTGACAGTTTCAATGCGTGGGACATCTTTCGCTTAGCTGTTCAAGCCATTGCTCTTCACAAACCCTCTTTTCGTGACAGCTTCGTTGCTTGAGGAACGTTGTTGTCAAACTGTGCACGCCAACGCGCTGCACATAAATAATCATTTTGTGAAAATCTCGCTGGGTGGGACATGTTTCGCACAACTGTGCGCGCCCTTGCTCTTCACAAAAATCATTTTTCGTAACAGTTTGGTTGCGTGAGGCATGTTTACCTGTGCAGGTCATTGTTCTTGGCACAAACCATCTGTTGGTGACAATTTCAATGCGCGGGACATGTTTCGCTAAACTGTTCAAGCCATTGCTCTTGACAAAAAAACCATCTTTTCGTCTTTTCGTGACAGCTTCGTTGCGTGAGACAATGTTTGTCAAACTGTTCCAGCCAACGCTCTGCACACAAACCATCCTGTCGTGACTGTTTGGTTGCTCGAGACACTTTGTGTCAAACTGTTCATGCCAACATGCTGCACACAAACCATCATTTCGGGACAGTTTCGTTTTGTGAGATAGTGTTTGTTCAAGCCAACGCTCTGCACACAAACCTTCTTTTCGTGAATATTTCGCAGCGTGGGACATTTTTCGTTGAACTGTGACAGTTTCGCTGCTCGAGAGACTTTTTGTCGAACTGCGCACGCCAACGCTCTGCACACCAACCATCTTTTCGTGACAGTTTCGTTGCGTGAGGCACTTCTTGTCAAACTGTTCAAGCCAACGCTCTGCACGCGAACCATCTATCGTAAGACTTTCGTTGCGTGAGACACCTTTTTTGTAAACTTTTTTCTGCACGACATGCTTACGCAAAACTTTTCCAGCAAACACTTTGGTTGCAAGCCATCGTTTCGCGACAGCTTCGTTGAATGCGCCGCTTTTGCAAAACCGTTTCTAAGAGTCCTCAATGGGGATGATAGTAATTAGGGTGTACTATAATCCCTATTGAGGACAGTTAGCATAAGGGGGAACATCCCAAGATGTACTTGCAACTTGTTCAAGCCAACGCCTTGGACCTCTGGACCAAAAAAAGAAAGGCATGTGCCCTTGATTTTCGATCCACGCGGTGCCGGGACCCGGCCCTATACAGGAGCAACAAAGGGCCACAGAACCAGTGTCCCACGACCCACCACTAGGAAGAAAAAGGTCCCGGCACACCTAGGAAAACAAAAGAGAGCATAACCAGGGGACGGATAAACCGGAAGCCTCAAAGAACCGGGCTACCAGCTTGTGTGGGAGCTTAGCATCTTAGTTCAAATAACGCTTAAGGATATCCCTTGGCTTTCTAAAGTCCTCCTAAACTTTCAAACCTAACCTCTAAACCCAAAACCCTCAATCCTACCCCCTCAAGGTGAACAGCATAAGGACACCACTGGGCTTTCCAGTTTTGGGGTTTGTGGTTGAACTTCGGGGTCTCCTTGTCATCCCTGGGGCCCTCTAAACCCTTATGTTCAGGTCAAAGCCCTGAAAGCCCTTAAGTCCTGAAAGCACTTGGGAGACATACGAGTTGCAGGCCCTAGCCTCTTGGTCACACTGTCCGGCTGCAGCGAGAATGCAGGCCTGGACAGTTTGTCGACGGCTGTCGGGATGACGAATGCGTCAACATGAAAAGTGCTGCAGGGTGGTTTAACTGAAGTTCAGGGTTTAGGGTTCGGGGTTTTGGGGTTTAGGATCTAGGTAGAATCTAGGCGAACGCCAATTTCAGGTATCCATCCGAACCTCATCGGACCTCATTATCAAAATCGGGGTGTAGCTGTTCACAACTGGTTCGGACAAGGCGTCGATTGAGCCCGCCGGGACGCGTAGGGAATTGCAAGCATCCGGGTAATGTTGGACTGACTTTAGTATAAGTAGGGTCTATAATCACAAGTTTCGAAAATTTATTCAGCGAACCGAGTTTGTTCAGGGTACCGCCTAGTATCACAGGTTTCCCCCAATTTGTTTGGGGGGGTCGCCGCGCCATGCGTTTATAGAGGGTCCAAATTTGTTTGAGGGGGGGGGGCATACTAAAGACAGTGCAACATGAATTGTCAAGACGTATATTTGGCAGTGGGTCAAAATTCGGGTTGTCGCGGGGGGTCGCCCACCCCCTCTGTTACAAGCCTTGTCGCGGGCAGGTTGTTTCATACGTTTGTCGCGCCGCTACTTTGAACCCAATTTTCTTATTTGGGTTTTGTAAGGGCTTAGGGTAAACGGTTTAGGTTTAGGGTTGGGGTTTCGGATGAAGGGTTTAGGGACCGTAGGGATTTTACCGGAGAGCCATTAAACCCTGAACCCTGTAAATAGAAAACCCTGGGCTTCTCGTTCAAGGTTGTCCTACGGATGGCACCTGCTGGCTCGAGCAGTCGCGCGGGTTGTCGCGGGTATGTCGCGCCCTGTCGCAGGCCTTGTCGCGGACTGAGAGTGAAAGTTGCTGCAGACACGCATCAAGGTCGCATCGAGATTGGCAATGAGAAAATTCAATGGTATTGCTGTCTTGTCGCGGGGGGGGGGGGGGGGGGGTTGTAGCCTTGTCGCGGGGAGGGTTGTCGCGGACGGGGCCCGTCTGTTACAAACCTTTGTCGCGGAGGGACCCCCCGGCGCCTGTTACAAGCCCGGAAAAAAACTCACTCCCATTTGGGAACCCAAGCAGGCAGCCCAAATTTTGGGAAGCCCCTTTTCAAGACGCCCCTCCCCACAGCAGAGCGGCATCTGCGCAGCCAACTCCACTGCCCGGGACCACTGTCCTTCACGAAAAGCCAAGGGCTCGGAAGACTTTTTGAGTAGCCTAACAACCCTAAAATTGTCCGAGCCGCCACCATGCAAAGCGTTGAAACCCTAGGTGAGTGCCCACATTTGCTAGGTTACTTGTTTCACAGCTTGGAGGGCTCCGAATGTCCTGTCGAAGGAACCTGAGTAGGCTGTAGTGAACAGGGCTTATAAAGTAGGCTTGTACTCCAAGACCCCAAGCCAAACAATGCCCTACAAAGCAGCCCACGTCTTTTGAGGAGACCTGCCTGAATGGCTTGTCAGGAGCTTCCATGCTAACTGCGGGGAAGGCTCGTAGGTGTAGGCCATTCTGTCTCAAGACTTCCTACAAACGCGTCAATGCACCATCTCCAAAGAAAGAAGAAAACATGCAGGCCACACTCGGCACAATCGAACTACAAAATGAAACCTCCACACGAGAGGAAGGCCTCAAGACATTCATGCGCTTAGCATCTTGCACCCTTAAACCCTCGACCCCAAATTTTTGCCCGCAATATAAGGGTCCTGCCGCCACGCAGGCGCCAAGAGAGGGGTTGAAAGCGGCGGTGTCCGGCCACTGTGAGGTGGCGCGCATCTCCTTCTATTGTGGGCAGTTCGAAGGCTTCCCAGCAGGTGTCCATGCTCTGAAGAGACAACCATCGACACGCTTTTTTTAAAAAACCCTAAAGATCCCTAGCCTAGGTTCCGACATAAGTAGCCTAAGGACCAGAGAAAAGGGGACCTGTCTTTGGATCTGGCTTCTTCGGGTTGAGAAAACCAGCCCAATCCTCCAAGAAAAGGAAAAGCAGGAAGGAAAAGCCATCCTAAGCCCCATAAACCCGAAACTACCATCCCTAGGAGCCCTTTCAATCAGTGCACGCCATGTCCCAGTATTGCGCGCTTGCCGTTGGAGCGCTTTTTTGGGTTTGGAGTTAGGGTCATGGGGGAAGGGGGGGGGGGGGGGGGTGGAGCTCTCCCTGGTGCATCCTCTAGGAGGGCGACTGCCAGCTGCCATTTGCCCCCAAACCTGGGATTCGAAGGACAGCTGGTCTTGGGTTTGGGTTTTAAGGCTGTAGGAGTAAGGGGTATCGGTTTCAGGGTGTCCTGCTAGGTTCGCTGGGAACAAACAGGCGACAAGAGATATACTACCCCACAAGAGTTCCAGGTTAAACAATCCGACCATGAAGTCGGTCCGCATGTCAGCTTTGCTATGTGGGTTCCTTTCGAACATTCTGGTCCCTTATTCGGTACCCTCAAGATATGGGGGTGTACGAAAACGAGGGACCCCTGATACAGATCCCCAAATGGATCCCTTATAACACCCAATAAGGTACCCCCTGAAAATTTTGCAAACCCTAAACCAACCCTAAACCCAAAACCCTAAACCCTAGAAAACCTAAGCCCTAAAACCTCAACCGACGGGGGTTGGTGCTGGGGTCACTTGGGATGCTTGTCTTGGTGAGTGGCTGCGCAGCCCGCATCGCCGCAGTGAAGAGGAGCATGCTGGGGCGCCTCTGCTACGCGTTTAGGGCTTAGAAGGGTTTAGGGTTTGGGGTTAGAAGGGTAAAGGGCTTACAAGAGCTCTCAGCCCCTTGGTGGAGTTTCTGAGGCTCTGGGCTTAGGGTGCACGATTCTGGAAGGCCTGCGCGGCTTACAAAGCCAAGAGGGCTCTAAACGAGAAGGGCTTCATCCGGACCTCAAGACCCTCCAGTGTCAACAGTCCCACAACTTACAACCCTCGAAGCCTGCAGGCAACTTTTCTCGGAACCCCTTCACAAAAATTGTTCTGGGCTCGTTCTGAAAGTAGATTTCCCCCCCGCCCCAAGGCAAGTGAGTGGGGTGGCGGTGTGTAATGGATCCGAGGGTCGTCTCACGCCATACCAGATTCAACAAGGCCAAGGCCTTTCACATGCGGCTGACTTGCTATAGTTGAGACCCAGAAGAAACCACATGGAGAGCTCTTTGGTTTAGGGCGAGTATGTTGTTTATGGTTTAGCATCTAGATAGGCCAATACAGGCTTTGCTGTTCGAGGGTTTAGGGAACAGTCAACCATCTTTGTCAGCGACCTTTCCCACCGCTCTTCACTATTGTTGCCAAACTCTGTGGTCCAATGCAAGCGCTGCGCAAACCAACTGTCATTCAGGAGCAGGGCCCCAGGAAGGCTGTCAGGATAATTGCTTCTGTCTGTGGGATGCCTCATGTTGACTTGGCTTTAATAAAACCCACCCGCAATAAAACAAAAAACAACTAAATCCCGGAACTCAAGTATGAACCAAAACAAGTTTGGCACAAAAAACCTGTCCAAACGGATTTAAGCTTCAGAAGAAAGATTCCGAAAGAGGCTGTGTTTCTCGGAGGGGGCCGATCTATGGGTATCTTGGGTACATATTTCGTATTTAGATGTAGATTATACGGCTCAGGCTCCGGTACTATCCACATCTCACGAATGCCCGATCCTTGTTCGTATATGGGATTTCCCCTATTGAATACACCCCTACATATCGTAGAAGTCTTGGTAGAGTACCAACAAGGGTATCCGCAATTGTTCTGGCACACGCCCAGAAAAATCGTTATGCAGAGCAGGCTGGGCGACGCTGGCACCAGCAAACTAGGCCATCAGAGTCATCAGCTGCCCTTAAGCTGAACACAGACGTCCAAAAGGGGGGGGGGGCCGCCTTGGCCCATTCGTGCCCGCGTATGCACGCAGTGGAGGCAGCTCCATAGGAAATCTCGTCCTCAAGTTCAACGGGACACGACCATTCAAAGGCGAAATCCTGAATCCGTAAGCCTGAACGCAAATACCACCCCCTCGCCACCCCCAAACCCTAAGCCCCGAAGACCCCAAACTTTCGGACCGTGCGAAGGCTCGGGTTGTAGGGACTGATTGTGCAGCAGCTGGAACCTCGGCGGGGTATAATTAGGGTTCAGAGTTTGGGACTGAAGGTGCTCCGGTTTCTGTGGTTTGTGTAGGCCATCATTCCTTACATGTGCAATCCTACCCTAAGCCCTAAAGCCTAAACCCAAAAACTCAAACCCCAAAAGACTAAACCCTAGACCCTAAACCCTAAACCCGCATCGAAGCAGCAGCTGTAGGGCGCCTTGCCAGTGGTGGCCTCTGCCGCAGGCACTCAGCGCCGAGTTTACTGCGATCAGGGTTGGGGTCCTCAGTCGTCCGCTCAGGGCTTCCCAACATCTATGCAGTTTAGGGTTTAGGGTTTAGACCCGAAAAACCCTAAACAAGTCCCGTGGTTTTCTTTCATAGGGTGTACAAGGGAGGCCATAAGCTCCAAAAACGGATCGAGAGTGTGGTGTGCGTGCGGGCTTTGGGTGCATTGTTTGTAGAATGAGGAACTCCCCGTAGCTTCGGGGGTTCAAGGGCTAGTCTAAGCAGGCTCACCTGATTCAACTCTCAGAGTCCGGAACCCTTGACAAATCAAGCATGCGATGGAGATATGATGATGCTCCGATGCTGGTGGTGGTGATGGTGGCGGCGTCGCCGTTCTGTTGCAGTTGGCGATTGCCACGATGAGCCTTCTCGAGGATGACGACTATGACGACGACGATGACGGCGACGCACATATGTATAATATAAATGAATAAATAAATATATAGACATATATGTATGTATGTATGTATGTATGTATGTATGTATGTATGTATGTATGTATGTATGTATGTATATGTACACACACACACACACAACAGGCTTGTCGATGATCGGATCACCCCAGCTCTACATGCATACACACGCAGACACGTACATAGAACATGGGCATACATGAGAGCTCACAAAGCATGTCTGGCATGGTAGCGCAGTACGCACAGGCCGTGTTTGACATAGCATACCACATCATGTCATGACCTGACATGTCATAACACAAGCTGCCAGTATGTGGCATACAAAAGCACAACATGCAGACAACATACAATGGCGTAACACGTCACGTCAAAGACATGTTACAATCTACCTAACGTAAACATACCGTAACATGACGTACAGTAAAATAACACATAACAAATCAGAACAAATCATAACATGACATACAATGCAACCATATTACAGCCTGCCAATGCGTGGCACGACACACTACGGGAGAACACGCCACAAGCGTGGCTTGGGATAACGCGCAATAACACAGGGAATCGCACGGTGTAGCGCCTAGCAGAATGTACCGCAGCAACACATGACACCGCACAGCATGACGCCTGAAGGCACAACTCTAAACCCCTGAAACCTACAGGGTGCACAAGGATCCTTGGGCCCAGCGACACAGGCAGCTCTTGAAGCAGGGCGAGGGCGAGCTGCCACTGCTGCCCTCGGTCGCAGGCGGCAAGGCTGGCTCCCAGCGTGACGGCATCCGGGGCCTTAGCTTTTTGGTTTCCTTTTTGTTTCTTAGGAGGGAATTCCGGATTTGGGACCCAAAAAAACCGTTGCAGGCTTATAGGATATGGCAGCACATAATGTTGGACATCTCATCAAACCAAGAACACAGAAACCGGAATAGATGGGGAAATCCGGATCTATGGTCGCCATGAGGAGGCTTTGTTTGCAAGCTCAGGGTTTGAGAGGCATATACAGCGAAAATAATGTTTTTTAGGCCAGGGTCTGGGGCTTTGGCGGTTCTTTTTTTTGGGGGGGGGGGGGGGAGGCAGCCCAGGCAAGCCGTGCGAAGTCTGACATACGCAAGGTCATGTTTTTTCTGGGAACCCCGAGCCCACCCGTTGGGTAGGCGGGCGCAGTCGAGCGCTCAGCGAGACCATGCAGACCCGAACTAGGATGTTCACTCTAAACCTTAAGCCCTAGTATAAACCCTACGCCTTGAGCCCTAAACCATAAATCCTGAGGGCCTCGGTGGCCCCTGAGGATGCTAGGGAGGCTTCGAAGAGCCTTAGGCTCCGCTGGCCAAACCCTAAACGCCAAGAAGAACAATAACCGATGAAGGTTCCGTGTGGGAGTTTGGTTCGGCTGGCTCTTGGCTGTGGCTCTTCGTGGTTGTGATTGGGTGGTCTTGGTGTTTGCATGTCTTATGATAAAATTATTCTACACTCTAAACCGCCAAAACCCTGCTTATAAGTGCCGAGCTGCAGGTCCCCTTTCGCGCATCGACGACAGGAGCATGAGAGCCCAGGTCCAGGCAACTGCGCGTGCACAAGCGCCTGGTTTGCTTAGGGCTTAGACTTAGACGGCTTGGGGTTCAGGGTTTAGGGTTTAGGGAGCATACGGGCTCAAGCAAAAGCGAAGAGCCCAGCTCAAACCCGCAGCAAGTGGATTTCCTACACGAAGGCAAAACTTCTGCTGCGCCTTATGTGAGGCCTGAACCCTCAAAGCCTTCATTGCAAAGCCTTCATTAGCATCTAGCCTGAACCCAACCCTTTTCTCCAAACGTACAGCCCATAGTCCTAAGCTGCACGCTGAAACCCATAGTCCCAAACCGTTTCCATTTTAAAACCTTATTTGATTCTCAATCGTAACCCCCCAACCCCCCCCCCCCCCTTCCCCCCCGGGCTGGGGGCTGGGCTTGGTGCTGGGCTTGGGGTTTGGCGCCCCCTCGGCGCCCCCCCCCTCCCCCCCCTCCTCCCCCCCCCCCTCCCCCCCCCCCCTCCCCCCCCCCCCTCCCCACCCCCCCCTCCCCCCCCCCCCTCCCCCCGCCAAAAGTGAGGAACACACACACACACACATAGACACACAGACACACAGACACACAGACACACAGACACACAGACACACAGACAGACAGACACACAGACAGACAGACACACACACAGACAGACACACACACAGAGACACACACACAGAGACAGACACACACACAGACAGACACACACACACACAGACAGACACACACACACACAGACAGACAGACACACACACACACACACAGACAGACACACACACACACACA